CTGTCACGTCGACAAATAAAGATAAAGCAAAAACCGTGGATAAATAAAAAATTATGTGACAGCATCTGTTTAAGACATAAGATGTTCAAATCTCACCACTTATGCGGCAATAGTTCTCAATCCTCATACTATAAAAAATATCGCAATTCACTAACACATGCCATTGAAGATGCTAAACAAATGTATTTTCAAAAATTGATTGCCCAAAACAAAGGCAACCCCAAGTGTACTTGGCGAATTGTTAATCAAATAGCATCTACTAAAAATAAAAAAACCAAAAGTGTTAATGAAATTGATTTGGAAAATGGCAGAACCATTAAAGATAAGTCCTTGATTGCACAAGAATTCAATAAATATTTTTCCACTGTTGGGTCCAACCTTGGTACTAAATTCTCCAATGATATGGATGGCTTTTCAAAATATTTCTAAGCAAGCGTGTAAATCAATCCATATTCTTAAGTCCTGCAACAGTGAACGAACTGACCATGGAAATAGTATGCCTCAATGAGGGTAAAGCGGTTGGCGCTGACAACATTCCCAGTCGTTTCCTTAAGTATGTGGCAGACATCATAGCACCTTGTATAACTGAGTTTTTTAATAATTCACTTCGATTGGGGATATTTCCATCTTCACTGAAAATTGCCAGAGTAATTCCAATCTTCAAATCTGGTAATACAAAACAAATTTCAAATTACAGACCTATATCCATATTATCTGCTGTTGATAAGGTTTTTGAACGTCTAATTTACAGGAGGCTAATGGACTTCTTTACAAAGCACGATGTTATAAATAAATCACAGTTCGGTTTTCAAAGCAATCACTCCACGTCACATGCCATCTTAGATACTATTTCTCATATATATGATAAATTAGAGAGGAAAGAATATGTCAGTGCAACATTTCTCGACCTTAAAAAAGCTTTTGATACTGTCAACCACAAAATTTTAATGTATAAGTTGTGGCATTACGGTATTAGGGGGGTAGCAAATCAAACTCCTTACTAGTTATTTGACAAGTAGAACTCAATATGTTCAAATAGGTACATATTGCTCCTCTGTCTTACCTGTGACCCATGGGGTTCCCCAGGGTTCGTCCTTGGGTCCGGCTCTGTTCTTAATTTATATTAATGATCTTGCACATAGCTCCACTCTATTTTCCAAATTATTCGCTGACGATACGAACCTTCTCGATAGTGATAAGTCTCATGTTGTGCTTCAATCCAGAGTGAATACTGAAATACAAAAGGTTGCTCATTGGATGGAACTTAACAAACTAACATTAAATGTGGATAAATCAAAAACTATGTTGATAACTCCTAAAAAACCAAAACGCATTGATGGTTTAAAAATCCAAATTGGGGGGACTATTCTGGAAAATGTGGAATCGTATAAATATCTTGGTATCGATATTGACAATAAATTGAACTGGGATATTCACATATCCAACATTACCGTTAAATTATCTAAGGCGGTAGGAATGTTGTATAAACTTCGATCATACACCTCAGTGTCAACTTTACGTATGGTTTATTATGCTCTGTTCCAGTCCCATATCCAATATGGCATTGCGGCCTGGGGTTCAGCAAGCAAAATGTTACTGCATCGTATTGAAGTCATGCAAAACAGGGCAATCCGTGCTCTTACACACGCCGGACCTCGGTGCAATTTAGAATCCTACTATTATAAGATGAAAATACTTAAAAATGCAGATATTTATAAAACTGAAGTGCTGAAAATTATGCACCAACATCATAATAAAAAACTGCCGGCTGCATTCTCCGGCTATTTTGTTAAGCAAAGCGTCATTCACTCTCATGCAACTCGGTCTTCTGCCAATAGCTCATATTATATGACTCGCTATTCATCTAGCCGCACACAAAATTCCATTAAGTTCATTGGTATAAAACTTTGGAATATGCTTCCAGTTACCATACGCTCTAAGAACTATAATACATTTAAAAAAGAATTAAAAAATCACTACCTCAATGCTTATAACATCCAGTAGTCTAATTCACTGGTCATCAATCCTGTATTTGATGACAATTTTGCTGAATGTGATGTTTTTCTTATTTGTTCATATCATTCATTTCCAGTGTTATTGAATATTTTCACTATTCTTCCACAAGCTACGTTACCCCAAATCTCTTCGCCGTGTACTTAACCTCTCGTATTGTGATTCTGTTGCCCAAACTTCATTATGTATTTATACCTCCAAAACTAATTCCCTTATTGTGGTTTGCTGGGAATTCCCCGTAATTTATCTCCGCAAGGCAGCGTCATGTCAATCAGAAGCCCGACAGCTGTGGCGGTGCCGACCCGAGCACGACGTTGACGATTTGAGCATTTTTTCCCCTCCTGACGCGCTCTTGTTTTTCTCTCGTTTCTCATGATTATCTTCGATTTAACTATTTTCTCCTAACTGACTTCCCCAATTCGACTTACATTTTCCAAATTGTGTTCATTCAAAAAATATATATGTTTAAATCCTGTTTATTTAACTTCATCTGCTGCTGTTTACAGCTATTTAGGTGTCGCTGACACGTTAACTTTATAGTTTATTCGCGACTCCTCGTCTATTGCAGTCGAATTATTGTACGTCTGTTATTTCTTCTCTCGATTTATTTTTACTGTTTATATGTACAATATTTCTTGCATGACGGAAATAAATATCTGAATCTGAATCTGAATCCGTTGTTGCAGGATCGCTTGTCAGTCTACCACGCGATCGCCGGCACTTCATTTTTGAACCTTGGCAGCGAAAAAACTTGCCTTTGTTACGTAATTTATCGGGCTTGCTCAGACTTAAATATTGTATGTGTATATTGTATTTTGCGCATGTAAAGTACTGTATTCTTCCTGTTGTAAATTTTCGGGGGTATTTTAATAAAATTCACCCAACATCAGACGCGATTGACTGCTCGAGACGTGGCGGTCGATCGCGATCGACGTATTGGCCACCCCTCCTGCTCTAGTCAATGGAAAATTATTAAAAAAATTCTGTTCTTTTAAACAAATTGGAATTTAGAATGCACTTGTTTTACTAGGCATCATGTCTTTAATAACTTATCTCATTATTATGCCGCGAAATGTGTGTTATTCCCATCGCTTCCTCAGGAGGAATGCAATTATTTCACAGTAAGTTCAATATTTATGAACTATGAACAATATTACTGTACGCTTCTTTGAAATTGTTTTGAATGAACTCTTATGTACGCATTTGAGGAAATCTTCCTAGAAATTTCCATACATGAGCTATTATGTATAATTTTGAACTTTTTTTACTACTAAATGTCATACTTGAACTGTCCATTCCTAATAACCCATAAAAGACAGCATTTTTGTGGAAAAGTAACGAATATATATAATTCTACTGAAGTTATAGGAAATTGGTTTACCCCGATGTGAGTTAACATTGAAATAAAATGAATCGTAACGACAGAAAAGAAGCAAATCTAGCTTTAGTTTATTTTCATATTCACATTTTTGAAGCATAGGATATTTGTTATAATGAAATGACTGGAATATCAGAATCGCGAATTAAAGTTTATTAATTTTTAACAAGATTGGAATTTTTAAGATATCGAATCAGTTTTAATCAAATGCACAACTTGCTGACAAAATTGACAGCATTGTCACAAACTCTATATTCCAACCAATTCATTCTCGAAAATTTGAACTCTTGCTGCATCTTTGGACACAAAGTGTATACGTAGGCTACTATTAGATTTGCCAATTGTTATTGAGGTGGCATTTGACGTTCTAAAATGTCAAAGGTTAGTTCTTTTATAGATCGATTTTTTATCTTCAAGTTTGATATTTCCAAGAATATTGCACCACCACGTGACATTATATCTAACCAGTCCGATATCTTTCCAACAAAGCTAGTGGGGAAAATCGCTCTTCTCCGCAACCAAACGATTTAAAATTTTCAGTGCTCAAATACTTAATTTTTCAAGGGTCTTCCGAGCTCTATGACAATCGATATTTTGTTTTAATTCGGACCTTTCCCCGAGCATCGACTTCCTTGTTTACTTCGCGATATTGGCCAATCAGCAAGGTGCAAAAAGTGACGTAACAATGTTTCCGTTCGCTTCCGCTCAGACACTTTTCTCACTCAGACAGATTTTCGGGCGTGGTCGTAAACATTACCTCGTTTTTGGATTCTATTTGTCAGTTTTCAGTTGTGTTTCGGAAATTTAAATCAGATAATTCAATGATCCTGTCTTCCTAGGAGCTTTAATTTAATTGCAGTAATAAAAAAGTAATATAGGAATACCTGTGATAGAATAGGCTAAAATTCTTTACAGGTACTTTTAAAAAACAGGTTGTTGTATGCGATGAATCAGAATGATGGTTTGAAACAACTACCCCATTTTACAAGCGCCAACTCGCGAAACCACTCTTAAAATAAGTCCCGAGCATTTTGCCATGGTAAAGTATGGGAAGAATTTTTATGGGGTTAAAGGTCCATTGCAAGTCATGTCCGCCAAGCTCATTTGTCATTGCTTTAGAATTTACGCAGACAAATGCAATAAAATGCTTATTGGGAAACACGAATATAGACAATTGCCAGCGCCGTCAAATCGAATAACTCCGGATGCCTTTGACTAGGTAATTAGGTGTCGCATGAATCAATCAAACGCATGTCTCGCACGATAAATTATCTTCGAAGAAAAGGGGATTTTAATTAATCCAAGAAAGATAGATATCGGAATAGAAAAAGAGTAAAAAAATGTGAGAAACATTGTAGAATAATTACGTGTTTATTTTCCCCTAATCGCCGCAAAAATAAAAGACTTGTTCTCAACAAAATAAGCCCAAAATCTTGAAGATGTCATATCTATCGCAAGATACATAACAGCCTACCATATGATTCGCGTCGGTATTTTAGCGTTTTGTGCTGAAAATCCATATTTGGTAGGTCTTTTCCCACTATATAGTCCACAAGCTATTGTTCTTTTCAGTATGTCTTTTCTAAGCCAAAATTAACGGAGGCAACTACCAATTAATCAACCTTCTACTTCAGAAAATTTTAAACCATCATTTATTTAGTCTTAGTGTTCCACAAACAATTTATGGTATAAAAAAATGTTGAAAACCACTGTATTACATTATCAAAACCTTATTTTAGAAACTTTTTTGATAAGTACACCTCTATTTTTGCCAAGTTTTCGACCAGTCATTGGACATGCTTCAGCACTGTTTCCATAACCGTAAAAACTTTTGGTTGCATGCAAAAATGTTCTTTCATGATGCTGCACATTCAATCTATCCAGCATATCATTGGCAATACGCGGAACAAAAGGTTGTAATAATATACCACATACACGAAGAGTTTCGTAAACACAATGTAAAGCTGTGTCGTTGAGTTTCTTATCTCTTGCATTGTGAAGATCAAGCCTCCACGTTTTATTTCTATGAATCAACAGATTTGATTCACGAACACATTCCATGATTGCTTCAGCTGCTTTATAAAAATGAAAGTCTTCACAAAACTTGTTGACGTCATCAGGCAATTTCTGAACTAAGTTGATTAAACCAGATGGTTTTTCGCCAGAGGCTTTGTCACTTAAAATGAGAACACATACACAATATGAGAATACAACAAATAAGAAATCGAGACATATAAATTATTAGCCAAAATTGGAAATAGCATGTTCTAGAAATATTCATTAAAGACAAATGAAAAGTTTGTAAATTTGAAACAACATTTATAAAAAACACGAATATGATATTTCATGCTACATTTTCACATGCACGATTATCTTAAACCTTATCTTAAATGCGAAGTCTCATGTGTTAAAAAAAAATTCGAGCTCTTTTACATCCTTCACTTACCTAAAACTTATCAAATTTGGATAGCAATCTTTGTAAAAATTTGTGTAGATCTGATCTGGGTTCAGTTTAGGAGCAACAGCTCGATGCAAACAGTTTCCGAGTGAATTGCACAAATCACCATTTACAGATTGCAGCAATAAGTGATGATTAAAATCGCAGTCATGTTCTAAAACTCCCTGGAGAGAATATTGAAAATATAGTAAATATGAAACAAGAATTTGGTGAAAGAATCAAACATTTGGTTAAATGATGGAAAACTTTATTGAACACGAAGTGGTCCTGTGGATCATATTGTTATTATGTTGTTGTTGTTCTTCTCATCGTTAATTCTTATCAAATTCTTGATAGTATTTTTGTTCTATGAAAAAAATCACTTTTCGTTAACTACTAGACCAACTGCTTTGAAATTTTCAGAGGTTCATGATTATTGTTGTCACTAGAGGGCTATTACTTTCATTAGTTCCTAAATTTCCTATAAATGAAATTTGATATTTCATCCAAATTCCGCTGTTCAATTTTTATTGAATGGGAAGCGGTTTTTATCCTGTCTAGCGTGACCAGACCACTGTCTTTCCTTTTGAGAACTCATGCTACACGAAAGTTTTTTGATATCGGTAACATACTGTGGACTAGGTACGGTAAGTTACTTTGTGATCATATATTTGATCATTGCTTAGTGCTCTCTTGATAGTGACGATGGCTTGCTGAATGATTGACCATTTAAAAGGGCATTCAGCACCGCTTAAACAATTCACAGACATGGCTAATGCCAGATGCAACATACCTAAAGAGATAAAGCAGACGCAAGCATTTCAAAACCTACCTGTTTTATCAAGAAATATTTAAGTCGTTCACCAGATACAGAATTCGCTACGTTGAAAGGATTAATAACATTGCCCAGGCTTTTCGACATTTTTCTTCGATTCATCAGCCAGTGAGAATGAACAACAATTTGCTTGGGAAGATCAAGCCCAGCAGCAATAAGAAATGCTGGCCAGTAAATTGCATGGAATTTCAGAATGTCATGACCTGAAATTTGATTAGACAAATGATTAGACAACCCGAATGATTAGACAAATTCAGAAGAAGGTTAAGTACACAGTGTATATTGGAAACATAATTCAAAGCTTCACATAACCATTTTTATACAAAATTGCATACTAGTATATCATACGATGAAAATAAATAGACTAATAAGTACAAGATATAGTGATAATGAATGCGTCATTATTAGAATATGACTCACCTATAATATGACAATTGGCAGGCCAAGTTGTTCGAAACCTTTCACCATTTACGTCAGGAAATCCAGCGACTGTTAAGTAATTAATCAAAGCATCCAGCCAAACGTAGACAGTTTGTGTTGAATCAGATGGAGTTTCTATTCCCCACGAAACCCTCGAACTTTCTCTTGATATGGATATGTCACCAGTCATTGCATCCAAATTTTCCAAAAGTACCCGATGAAATTTTGCAGGATAAACACAGCTTGGATTCTGTCGAGCCCAAGTTTTCACTTCATCGATGACAGCAGATAATCTGCACATGGTGATTTAAATAGTTGCTATGAATAAAAATGAAATAACTCAAGAGTCTATACCTGACACAGGCAAACCTCGACCCGTGTGCCAAATGCGGCCCGTTGAGTAATTCAATATTGCCCGCCTGATGCTGCCACAACCAAACTAAAACTAAATTTTTGATGTTTAAGCTCGAAAATAGATTAAGAAATTTGTTGAGATTGGGATTAAATTTAGTTTTGGCATGAGGCTTATCGTTTCCCAATTTTGCTTGTGAAATACTGTGAATATTGTTCATAAAATGTAACTTTTTACGTCACACTTCCATGGCCAGTCTTGGTGGACAAAATTTGTAGCCCCCGGTCCAAAAACCTTGCCACCACCCCTAGTATATACTATATAGAATAGAGGTCTAATTCCACACTAATATGTTATACCCTTATTCTCAGAAATATAAAAATTTGCACCTTCAGAAAATATGAATATTGGAATGAAAGACCTACGAATATGATCAAGCTTTATGAGGCCAATAAGTGTCAGAAGCAAACTCATCTGTCCAAAGTGATAGAGGGGCGAAATTATCCTATTAAGATTGGCATAGCAGATCCACCTTCAAAAACACATTCATTAAAATATAGTTATGACAACCATATTATGGTTGTATTATAATAACCAAACTCACTGGGAAGATGATAATATGATACTTTACACTTCATTTCGGCTTTTGATAGAGACTATGAAGCCTTGAACTAAGGCTTGCTTGTATAAAAATATGGCAAATACCAATGTTTTTTATATAAATATGCCTCAATATGTGATAAAGTATGAATGAATGAAACAAAGTTTGTAAACTTACATAATTGGTTATTATTTTACAAATATTTTTACTCACCTGAATACGTAATTATTCTCCTTAACCCATTCTACTTTATGTCCACTTTCAATTGATATTCTATGACCCGCCGATATTTTGGTTTGGAGTTCAGTCACAAAATTTTCGTCCTGAGTACTGTACCATCCTTCATATGAGCCTGAATATGGATAGAAATAATAAGGAATCAAAAGCAAAAATTTTCTTGAACCTCACAATACGATAAACACAAATTTCAATGGTGAATAAGAAAAAAGTTTCGCTATAAGTAAACTATTAAACTAATCAGAGCAAGATCCTTTTAATATCGAGAACTTGATTGTATGATTAGTAAGAACAAATATATGAACGAACTAGTAGGAAATATTATTTTTTTTTTTTAGAAAGAATGTTCAAGGAATGATAGCAAAACCTAAATGGAAACAATTTTTTTTTGATAAATTCATTGATTTTGATAAAAAAGTTCAGTGCGCTAAGATTTTGATCATTATACTATGATAAAACTGAGAAATTGTCCCCATCACCTCGCACCCTATTTATACCATCCTGACCATGCTGGATTCAAATCCCTTACCCATGCAGGATAACTAAATATGATCCAAAATACAATATTTCACCTTTGTAGATATATCCTTTATCTTCTAAAATTTTCCAAAAAGCATGAACAGCTTCTTTATGACGAGTGTCTGTTGTTCTGATGAAATCAGTATAGTCTATGTTACATAGTTCATACAAATCTTTATATCTGTAATTTGAAGAATGGAAAATTGGAAATACTGAAATAGTCTGATAGTCAAGATTATTTTCATTCTAATTATACTATAGTGAAGATGATCATAACCTACTGACCTACATAGGGCAATACTAACTAACCAACCTTCCAGAGACTTTATCACAAAAGGACTTGGGTTCCATTTCTTCCTCAGCAGCAGCTTCCTGAATTTTCTGTCCATGTTCATCTGTTCCTATTATTATTCAGTGCCCAAGTTGTTTAAAATTTAAGATACGGTAACACATAACTTACTGACTTATATAGGATGCAAATACGCGTCAACAAAACAATGTAGGCTAGTTATTGTTTAATAATTACCTGTCGCAAACACAACTTCTTTTCCATTCTTCAGTCTTTGCCAACGACCAGCAACATCAGCCAGAGTTGCAGTATACAAATGCCCCAGATGAGGCTGTGAATTCACATAAAATATTGGTGTAGTAACGTAATAACTTTTTCCTCGCATGGACGTTGTAAATGCATGGCTGTTACTTCGACACTTACAATTTAGCCTTGAAAAAACGGTCACCCAATTCAAAAAAATACCTCGCATTGCGGTCTTGCGGAGATGAAGAAACGGAACGACCCCGGCGCACCAAGTCAAAAATCGCGGTTCTGATCTATGGTTCAGTAGATAAGCGTGTTTGTATGTTTTCAGGGTTGCGCTCCCTGAATACGGAAATATTGTTTGAATCCCCCAAAAATCTTGTCATGTATCGCAATCAGCCTTATATTGCACAATACCCATATGATAAGGCAGGGGTGGGCAACATACTGCCCGCGGGCCGCTTCCGGCCCGCGACGAGATTTTGACCGGCCCGCTGATGTATATCAGTACATTATGATAAATTCATTATTTTTTGGCCTCTATTTTTTGTAAAGTTTAAGCTTTACTTTTAACGCTAGTTATAATTTTTTTTCTTGCATTAGCAAATAAATATGTGATTAAGCGTAAATATATACTACTACGGATTAAGATATTAAATACTATTGTAAATATATACTACTACGATACTATTCATGTAATAATCCGGCCCACAGGACTTCATTTTCCAACACCTGCCCCGCCGGCTAGAGAAGTTGCCCACCCCTTTGATAAGGAAACCATTCTAGGGTGCGCCATGTACACTGCAAATCACGCATGTGAACAGCAACTCCTAGTTATCTTGATTTGATAACCGTTAGGTACGGTACGTTATGCAGTTAAAAAAGGTGGTACCTGGGAAACCTCGTAGAACAATTAGGAGTGCAATGAATGGATGTTTCGAATGCTTATCACGATACGCCAAAAGTCGAGTTATTGATCCCTTGATGCTTTTCCGAGCACGTGTTAGGATAATAATTACGTGCTCGTTCTGGGGGAAGCCGTCAGAGGACGGCTTAGTCATATGGCAAACCACGGCCTATCGCCCGGTTACCAGTCCATGTCGGGTGTGGTATCAATTATTTTGTTTTCGGTTGCATGGACTTTATGGTGGTGGAACGACCAGTGGTTACGTAAACCACCCTACGACGCACATAACTATCCCCACAGGGTAATTAGCGGTGCTGTGGCATGCGTATTACTAACGCATAGTACGATGCGCCACACGCCTAGCCCGAATGCAGCCGAGCATTTTCATCTGCAGTTTTATGAAGTATGAACATAAATCACACTAAACTGTGAAATATTGCTTACCGGGCCACTCCTATCAAACTTTCATGTTCACATTTCTCATACCTGCATAACCTTCAATGACAACTGGAGAGTTGAAACTAAAGTCTTCATCGTTTTATGGAAGGAATTTACACAAATTAGCTCGCTCTATCAGCGCCTCAATGCAAAACCACCACAAGACCAATGAAATTAAAGGATTTTATAACTACATGACCAAATCTCTTATTATAAATGGTAAAGCAAAACGCTAAATTAATTATTACTGTAATGTTGACTCAAAAATATAACATGAAAACAGTGAATTCAAATTATCAATCCATATAAGAATATAAAATAAAATTAATTGAGTCAAACATTGTGAGGACTGATTTAAATGTTGGGCTGTAAATAAACGTCAAAAATATGGGAGCACATTGGATGTATTGATCACTGAGTAGGTAGTACAGTTCTCATATTAACAACAATAACTAACTAGGACATGCAAAAAAATCGATTTCCATACGTTATTGAGCAAATTATGAAAAATAATCAAGTTTCGGAGTCAAGGGATTAATATGACTTCCATCATATTACAGATAATGATAAATCATGAAAAAATAAAGTATAAACTTAATTGGAACATTTACAGTAATGTTAATTGAATGAGATGATGATAAATTAATGGACATGACAGAAAACAAACAGGTCCTCTATAAAATTCAAGGAAATTTCGTGTGCTATCAAACAAATTTGCAATAAGAGTTCGATAGCAGATTGAAAATTTACATTAATATTATTATACATTGTATAGGAGGAATTTTCTGTGTTACAAGAAAGGGAGTTTCCAACTGGATTCAGGTTATTGTAATTGCGTTGGCATAAGTTTTACCTAAATTTGTCAAAAAGAAATTATATAATACATGTATAACAATATCAGTTTGGAAGCGCTTAATAAAATCCCAGCCTGGTATAGAATACAAAGTATTCCAAACAACACAATGATAAGACAAATATATCAAACATATTAAATAGGTCCAAATAAAATAACAGTTACGATCTTAGTTAGATAAATACACATAATCTGAACAAGAATAAGTCAGAAATCTGCATCTAATCACATTGAAAAACTAAGTTGATAAACTGAGCAGACTAAAGCAATAAGCTAAGGGCAATTTAGGCAGGCAGTTGATAAAATATCACAATGCATTTAGTCGAATATACAGAATACACTTTTGAATCGCATTAGAAGCATCTAAATATGACAATTTTCAAAAGGTTTTAAAAGAGCCTAAACAATACTGGTGGTCAGGAATAATCAAATTATCAGCAAAAATGTTTTAACAATCAAAATATATATATTTAGCAGGAAGGATCATCACTTCAACCATCCCAGAAGGGATCTATCTTTGGGATTGGGACCCAAATATATATTGTCGAAGGGGTGTTTGAATGAAAGCACACTCCCACAAATTGTATAAAGGCAAATCTTTTTAATCGCATAGATACAAAAGAAAGTGTGAAAGCTGTTTAAAGTTCCTAAATACAATAAGTGGCTGGCTGGTCGCAATCCAGTCAATTTCCATCTCCAGTTATAACTGGAAAAAGGGAATGAAACTATTCCACAAAATTGCATGAGTATGGATGATGATTCAAAAAGAACAATTCAACTATTCATATATGTATTCTCAAAGAACATATTATTTTCAATACTAGCTACCAGTAGTCTTTTTTGAGTATAATTTGAGGATTCCAGTTTTTCAATTCAAGTACAACTTGGTCTCAAGCCTGTTCCAATCTATGAAGTTGTATAATCTAATAAATAAATATAAAATCATGCTAAAAGTTATGCCAAAACCACCGCATATATAACGAAAAACATAATATTCTTATGATGAATAGCCGGGAGACCACTGCTGCATGACATTGAATATACACTGCTGGACCATTCACATGATTCATTTTGGATTGATAATGGTGTTGATGACAAATAAGCTCCTAAACTTCAACAATGAGTATGAAATGAAGAACATGAATTCAAGAAAAGTTCAATAAGTAATTTGTTCCATGGTTACCAACTTGGTCATCATTTTGATCTCAAGGACTAAAAACTACCATACAGCTCGCGCTATAAGTATTCGAGGTAATAAAATTCATATTCAAAATGAGCTATCTATCAAACAATATATAAAAAAAATCCAACGTCTATGAATAAAAGAATTCGCATCAGGGGTATTTATGAAGCAATTGCCACCTCAACAAAAGTGATATACGTGAGATGAAGCTAGAATGTTGTTGCGGGTTACGGAAGTACTTATAAACCCTGTGATACATTAGCGATTCCTTGCTTCTTCGTTTTCTAAATCAAATATTTTTGTTGCCGGACAGATGCTCAACAACGTAAGACTAAAAGTATGTATCAGAGTCTACGTTATCTACTTCACCATTGACTTCGGGTTCATGGTTTTCTGATATTTTTTCTATAATTGTTCCAACATAGGATGCTCTAGATTGTGACGATTCCATACTCGATCTTGGCGCAGTTGATGAATGTGAAGTAGTGTTTGAATTGTCCGTCATGAACGATATTATCAATTCGAGACAGTCTGCTACATCATTAGTTGGTGCGCAAGATAACGCTGCATTCATGCCTCGATTGTCCAAAATTTCTGTTGCTGCGTCATGCATAAGCAACTGCTGAGTAACCTGCATTAAACAATCAAAACATTGAGTCATATATAAATAGCATGCAATTAGTTTGGTTGCAAACGCCAGAAGATTTACTCAAGTCAAGGTCACACTATGCCCACTCAGTCAAGACGTACATGAGACTCATCTCTGAGCATAATAATGGATAACCACCAAAATATCAATAGGTAATTATCAAATTAATATACTCAGGAAAACAGCCAAGAACAACTATATGGGCGCTAACCACTAATAATATCAATCCGATAAGTTTGTTGTACACAAAGGTGCGCAATTTGTGACCCTTGAGTAAAATGTAAAAACACCGTGCTTCATTTTTGTGGGAGTTTGGCTGCCAATGAAAATGTATTTGAACCTGATGTTATACGAACTTAAGGGTAAATGAAAAGTTGACTTCTTCCCTTTGCCCTATATTATTAATACTGTGATTGACATCATATGAGTGACAAATTATGAAGACAATTGATTAGATAATAAATCAAATTAGTGCATACCAGCCATTTCATGCGAACATGTATAAAATGTATGTTTTCCAAAGCTACACATGTGATTTTGTCGGATAGTAGTAGTTTTAGAGAGTTTTCACACCTCAACCGATCTGATAGAAACTGTGTGAAATACGGAATTCACAATTGGAATTCTACGTTTATTGTAATTTTCTACACTCTTATTTAAGATAAACCAAATGAATAGGATAACAGGATAGTATATAAAATATAGAATATCACAAATCTAACTCACCGGCAATAGACCAGCTTTCCCGGATATATGTAGAGGAGTCTGTCCAGCATTATTCTGTGCATTCACAATTGCTGGTTCTCCAGCCTTTTCTATAATTGTAATAGCGCAGTCACTTTTTCTATTCAAACAAGCTAGATGAAGAGCATTGTTATTATCTTTATCAACCAGAGCTACATCAGATTTCATATTCAACAAGAGTTCAACTGCATTAATATTTCCTTCAATAGCCGCCAACATGAGTGGCGTCCTTGCCATGCTATCCACAGCATTGACATCCGCAGAGTGACTAAGCAGAAACTGTATGCAGTCAATATGATCTTTCATGGCAGCAACATGCAATGGTGTCCGACCCAAGTTATCGAAGATGTGTGTGACTTCATCATCGAAAACATCGAGTAGTCTGTCCGCACAAATCTCGTTATCGTTGTAGACAGCACAATGCAATGGACTAAATGCAGAACCCTCCATAGTAGAGAAAGACTCATGCATCACTAAAGCTTCAACGCAGCCTTCGTGTCCTTCATAGCATGCGTAATGCAGTGCCGTGTATCCAAACTTATCGACAGTATTTACAGATGCGGCATAGCGTAGAAGAGTTTCCAATATATCTGTGCTGCCACGTATAGAAGCAAAATGAAGGGGGGTCTTTCCTGTACGACTCTGCATAACAGTAGCTTTACTGGCAGGGCCACTAGTATTTTCATCATAACTACGTCCACCATTGAAATGCTTCAATAGACTGATTATGACATCCTCATGTCCAATAGCGGCTGCACGGTGCATGGCAGTACAACCATACTTATCTCTTAAAAGTGGATTAGCTCCTTGACTGAGTAAGAATTCTAATGACGTTACATGGCCATTTGTGACGCAATGCATAAGTGCAGTCGTGCCATTGATATCCTTAGCATTAATGTATTTCTTGACCTCTTGATCATCCATTCCTCCACTGTCAACAGCTGCATCCTCTAATAACAATTTCATGACTTTGGTGTGTCCATTACAAGCCGCCAGATGAAGAGCAGTCTGTTTTGTATTTTCATTTACTTGCATAAAGGAAGCACCTTGTATTAACAAAGATTGAATACAATCGGCATGACCTTGGAAAGAAGCGATTTGCAGTGGAGTTCGACCTTGCTCATCACAAATTTCTAAATCGATTAAGATGTCGGCAAGATATGATACTACATCAGTGTGGCCGTTGTAAGCGGCATAATGCAGTGGAGAGGGAACGTGCATATCTTTATGAGCTTGCTCTAAAACAGAAGGTTGTTGATCATACAGCATTTCAACAATAGTATCATGACCGCATATTGCGGCATAATGCATTGGTGTGTGACGATGTTTGTCAGTTAGGCCACAATCAGCATTGCGAGACAAAAGAAGTTCGACACAACGACCATTCCAATCTGCAGCAACAGCATGATGAAGTAGTGTTCTTCCACATTCATCTGCATCATTTATATCGAAAGCACTAACTCCATCATCAATGCTAATAGAAGCCATGGTTGTGATAAGTCGTTTGGCGCAATCAAATCGAGCAGATCCCAGAGCGTAATACAGTGGCGTCCGACCATGCTTATCTCTTTTGAATGCATCAACAGGTTCCACATATGACATAAACATATCAAGGCATTCTAAAGATCCACCGCAAGCTGCGTAGTGAAGACAAGTACGATCATTATTATCTTTAATATTGATATGAACTTCGGGATTACTTTCAGGATCATCGTCTGATCTTGATAAAAGTAATTTACGACAGCAATTAACATTACCATGAATAGCTGCTAATCCCAAAGGTATCGCACCATCTGTCCCATGCCTCCTTGGGTTCGCGTTTGATTCTAAGAGGGTCGTTACCAACAGTTCATGACCATAGCGTGAAGCAACATGAAGCGCCGTGTTACCTTCTTTATCAGCAAGGTCAACTCGAGCACCATTTTGTAACAACTTTTGCGATCGAGTAAAACGTCCATGAACTGCCGTCATGTGCAGTGGGGTCTTCCCATTTTCATCTTGTACATTGACATTAGCTTCACTATTAACTAGCAATTCAAGAGAAAGAGCACCGTGGGTAGACTTAGCCGCTAGGTGTAGCGGTGTACAACTGTTGTCATTAGCCATATTAACTTTTGCACCTGCTTTTAACAGCTCGTGTACAACAACATCCTGACCATTCAAGCAGGCAAGATGAAGAGGAGTATCACGATGCCCATTGGGAGTATTTATATCACAACCAAGATCTATAAACATTTTAACAACTGAAATTTGTCCAGCAGAGGCTGCAGCGTGCATTGGCGTATTCTGATTATGTTTATCGCGACAATTGATTTCTGCTCCATGTGACACGAGGGCTTTAATGATTTCAGTATGACCCATGTAAGCAGCCCAATGGATTGCCCTCCTCTCTTGACGGTCATATGCATGCACATTTGCACCATTGTCCAGAAGTAAGTTAACAATACTAATATGTCCATTCAGGGCAGCATGATGTAGTGCTTGCCTACCTGCCCTATCAGACAGATTGAGATTGCTTAGATGTGGCACAAGCAATTCTGCACATGCAAGAGCATCATGAGCTGCTGCAACATGCAATGGAGATTGCCAAGATTTATCTCTTGCATTGACATCAGCCTGATGTTTAAGAAGGATTTTGACAGCTTCACCTCCCCTACAGATTGAAAAAAGAGTTTCAGATATAAATCCATATAATACCTAATTACAAAAAATTCTAACAGTGCCCAAAAAGGTTTCATATTTAGAATTATATATAAAGATACGTTGTCTAGCAATCACAATTATTCTAAATTTATTAGTTTTGGGCTATGATGCCATTTCATTCATAACTTATGAATCATGATATCCATATCTGAAAATATCTACTTGAATAAATAATAATTAACTAGAACATCCTTAAATTTAACCATAGAGATATTCGCGGTATATTAAAGAATATGGACATACTAAACCAGACAACCAAATCATGTATTGAATGGAATATTTTGGGCTGAGCTACACAAATAACAATCAAAAACGAAACTAAATGGTATTCCAATCACCGTGGATTGCTTTCTTATAATATTTGATCAATTGTATTGATTTATTTTCCTTAGGAATAATTTATATCAAAATTCCCTCAAGAATTAATGAAATCAACTGGAAATCGGATGCCTTAATATGCCCAAGGCAGTTTAATTCTCTACTCGCGAAAGGCGACACTTGTTGCTTTCGCCATTTAATCAAATATCTTTCATGTTAAATGTCAAATACAAAAATGAATAAAAGATGAATCAATTTCAATTCACCAAATTACTTAAAACTCATATAAATCTCATCAAATATAATTCAAAACATATTGACAAAAGCAATGATAAAGATTTAATTGATAAATTGATTTAATCAAATTCTCTCAAAGTTTTGACAACAGTTGAACTGCAATGTTCAATAAACAGGTCATCAAGTTAATCAAGCTGAGCGAACATAATTATTCGACATTTATTTATAACTACACAATTACAATAATGAACTTTTCCCCTTTTTTAATACCAATAATATGAGGTTGAAACGTCACAAGAAACCACCACAGCAAGATCTTAGAAGGGATTTGAAGGATTTATTTAATATTGCCTGATTTGCTTATTTTATTTGCTTCACAACATACGAGTTGGTTTTTCATTAAACCGACTTGAACTGGTCGATGTGATTGATATATTTCCTAGCATGAATGGTAGTCTTCGTTAATTCTAGTATTAATAAGTTAATAATCTTTTTATACCTCAATGATGAAAAGCAATTCGTGATTTATACTTTTGAGTTGCTACAATTCATATATTATTATGAAAATAAATGATACAGTGTTCTTCAGGTATCATTTTAATCTCAAATGCTGTAGTACTGAGTCAAAGTGGCGATGTGTGGTAATAAGGACAAATCATGTAGACTTGTTTAGTGAGTCATAGAGTATTAAATCATGATTCATTGCAGAAATATCAATAGGGAAATAAAAACTAGCAGCAATATTTCCATATATGTAATAAACTCTTAAGAATTTCAAATTTCTATTTTTGCATTAGTTGGGATCAGATAGGCTCACGTCATCAAGCCTATCTGGCAAACCCTATCCACCCTAAAAGCAAACTAATTGCTGGCAATGTCAATAATCAAATGTGAATAGATTAATTATCTCATGCTAAATCCCTTTTATATAATTATACCAGCCAGAAATATGTCAAATCCATGAATTGAATTAGATATTAATAATGATATTACGTTGCTGTCTAATATTGACTCATTAAACTAGAATCTCAGTTTCCTTATTCATAATGTTTACATAGGCTAAGTCATTGATAATATCTAAAAAAGCAGAGTGATCTACATTCTGTCATTGAGATTAGTCTGACCTCAAGCTTGCTTTGGCCTAACCGTATCAATGCTAATTTAGAATCTGGCCAAGCAGGTCAAGAACAGTTGAGGGCACCGGCCCATACGTGGCCATTGATAACATCTTTGATTTTGTGACCAGTGAGGGTTTATGGCGACAAAATATTTAAATAATACCCTACTATATGACTGAACTTAAGGATTTATCTTAGTTAACAAATATATCAAAATTCTAAATATCCAAATCCATCAAAAAATATGAATATTATCTAACATCTTTCAAAAAATTTCTAAAACTTACCTTGAAGCACAGGCTCTATGAAGTGGTGTAATCCATTTAGAGTCCTTAGCATTGATATGTGCACCACTTAAAATAAGCAGTTCCACAATTTCACCATCACCAAGAAATGCTGCGGCATGTAGTGGTGATCTCCTTTCACTATCTATCGCATTGACATCTTCTTTCTTAAAAATAAGTGATCGGACCTCATCTGCATCGCCATGAAATACAGCTTGCTCCAATATATTTGCATCCTGAATACTGTTCACCAGATGCTGTGTATCGAACAGAGCATGAACCTCTGTCATTCTTGTGACTTGAAAAAATTGGTTGTTCAATAATTTTGCTCCATTCACATTGTCAAAATTTATCAATATTAGTTTGAGATATTTTAAAATATAAATTTCTGAAATTTAATATTCCAGTTAAATATGGATACTTGCAACATTCACGACTACAAAGACTATTATTAAAGCAATATTATGGAAGAAGTTGCTTTAATATATGATTGAAGGCTTAAATTGACTGCCTATGGTTTTTATTGGGAACTTATTGCCAAAATTCAAAAGTACATTTTTTCCTCAAAACAGTTGACAAAATAGATATTATTTGGTAAGATAGGATATTCAAATTTGAAAGTTTAACTTTGTGAATATACCAGTAATAGCGTCATAAACCATGGCAAGAGACGCCACGGTTCGTTCATGGCAGGAGTTGCCATGAAGTGGTAAGAACTGCAACTCTTGAGTTTATCTCAATTACTCCCATAATAAAACACTATATCAAGGTATTTCTACATTTCATGAAGCTCTGATCAAAAGATAACACAAAGTTAAGACTCTCTCTCGCACTCCAGCTTCTTGCTCCACACATTCGACGAATTTTATACTATGATGTTTGTCATCTTCGTTTATGATGCCTTGCGTAATCACAATGCCTCTTGCTAAATTTTAATCTAATTTATTTGCCATATTTCATGATTTTATTGCCTGTACGATAAGATATTGTCCAGAACACACTGTTACAGAAAGGTACCGAGAAGTGAAACATTCTAGCTAGACGAATGTAAACAGACGTAATCAAATTAAAATACAGAATAGATGTATACAAAAGTGAAAATACAAAATAGTACAGTAGTAATTAAAAATAAACTTATGAACCGCCCCTACCCATTTTGGGGGTCTGGTATAGTTTAGTACCACTTTAGCACTTCTAGTTGGCCTGGCTCAACAATTTTTGCATATGTCATTCCTAACCCCCACCTGACTACATCACTGAAAAATTACGTCATTTCGTCATTACAGTGGCGTAATAAGGCCCACCAAAGTATGAGGATGGTCGTCCAAAACACGCAGACGATCACTCGAAATCGGGCAATCTATTTCTCTCGTTTTCTCGTCACAACAATCACGACATGGGAAGGATATCCGCATTAGCGAGCTCGTTATCGGTGGCGCAGATGCCAATTATACTTTGGCAAGGCCTATGGCGTGATGGTGACGTTCTAGTGACGAAATTTATGGATGACATAATCAGATGGAGGTTAGGAATAACATGTGCAAAATTTGTTATGCTACGCCTACTGGAAGTACTTGTGGTACTAAACTATACCAGACATTATTTTGGTTTGTCTTCTATAGTATTGCCATCCCATCATTATCTACTATTAATTCAATATACCAAGCATTTCTTGTTTAATTTCGACAATGTTAGTTGGATCACTTCTCACTATTTTTAATAAAAGCATTTATAATACTGATGTGAAAATTTGGAATTTTTTCTGTAAAGTATGGTATGTTTCAGTAGTTTCTTATATATTATTTGGCTCTTTTAACCAATTTCAATAATCTAAAAATCCACTGTACTTGGATAGCATTAATTTGACTTCTCAAATTTTGATAATTAGCATTTTCAAACCCCTTTGAGAAAAATCAGCACATACTATATCAATTTACTAATTGAGGCTTGTCATTCCAGATAAATTTCCAACAGATTGATTCTATATTTTTATCCATATTTCGGGAATAAATTCATACCTGACTAAATACCATAATTTAGATAGCAGTAAAGATTTTGTAATCAGAATTCTTACAATTTTCGATAAATTTCCATCTATTAATTACTTTTTGTACCGTATGTTGTTTACTACATTGGACCAGTTTTCGTCTTCTAAAGATACTATATGCCATTTCGGATACACGCACCAATAATCTTAACCTCATCCTGTCATCTCGTTTAACTTCAATTTCTTTATATTCAACGCCTATCGGCCACAATTTTTCAGCTTCAATACGCTTACGCATCCACCACAGGGACTTGGAAAAAATAAGGGATCCTACCCTGTCGCAAATTATGCACTTTGATTCATAAATGAACTTCTTTGTTTCAAATAAAATTCTGATCAACTGAAGAATCTCCCTCCGGACCCGCCTGGAGAGGAGATTCTTCAGTTGGACTCACCTGGGGGGAGTTGGGGTGAAGATTCTTCAGTTGATCCCGTTTCCCAACTGAAGAATATCCCCCTCACCCAACCCACCTAAGCCGATAATACCAATTGATCCTTCATTTGACCTGGACTAACTATTTGGCAGGGTTAGGGTTAGATGGTCTTAGTTGGGGTGGAGATCCTACAGTTGGTCTTAGTTGAGGGGGGGAGATTCTTTGGTTGATCCTAAAATCCAATGCCAAATGGAATTTTCGTAGAGATTTAAGTGTCAAATTGGTTGCCCCAATTTTTTTTATTTTTTATTAAACAGTTTTATAATTTCAAACACATTCCCCACAAGTTCAAATAATGTAATTAACGATTAAAAAAGTGACAATTAAAATATAAATCACACCATTACCAAAATTTCATATCATATATTATCCAATGTATGTCAATTGAAAATACGTTAATCCATTTATCATACAGTCATCATCCAATTGCACATTCTGACATTTATTATATATATTTATCATTAATTAAATCGACTTAGTTAATTTTTGCATGGAAATTAGAAAATAGAAAAATTAGACAGAAAATCAGAAAACAACCAAAGTGGGTTTTTGGCACTTTTCTATTCACTATCTATGTATGACTAAAATTCAGACATTTAAATCTTTTCATATAATCTGCATTTAAGTTGGTGTTGAATAGAAAATGTCACATCATGATTGATCTATGTATGAGATCATCTGGCATGTGTTCATTCGATAATAAATCATTTCTTTCACTTGTTTTTAATAAATTTGAAATTCCTATCAGTTTACATTTGAATATTGAACCATACTACTATCACTTTTAACCATTTCATCATACTTCCATATTTTATTGAATTTCGATATTTCTGAATTGTTGATTTTCCGCATATTACTGTATTATTGTAATTAGTTTAGATTTGCACTCTTAATAATTTGCTAAAAAAGTCTGATTATTTTCTATGAAACACCATTGCCACCATTTTTTTTATGGTTCCACAATGTGGATTATTCAATAATCAAAGAATGTATGAAATAAACAACAATAAATAACCATACAAAATTAACAGAAAAAATACATTAACAGCAGCCAGTAGAATTATTTCATTACTGGTACAATCCATTGATTGTATTTTCCATTCTATCCATTGATGTATCCATGTAGTTCCCACAGTGATTGACAGTGCATTATTTTTTAATTAACATTAATTATCTCTAATTTTTATTATTTCTCTCTATTGTATGTAAAAACAAGTTTTTCCAATTATTATTTATCTACTAATTACATACACTTGTATAGACATTTGTATATATACTTTTCTATACTTTATAAATGATACTCTTCATACACAGTTACATAATAATCTTAGATCTCTTGTGAAATTAGGCGAATTTCTAAGTTTCTCTACTTTATGTCTACATTTTAAAGCATTTTTAACTGTGTTTATTACACTATTAACACTTGGCATAACATTTTGAAAAATTACTGCATTTTGATGCAACCAAATCTTATACCTAGTACGGTAATAGACAATAATAAAATAATAACATTTTTTCTACATTTGATAAATGTTCATAATAAGGGCTACTCAAATCTAATAATACACAAGTTTCATAATCCTGTAATCAATTGAATTATTTCTGCCAGTTATTTTCATTATAATCCAAAAACATAATCATATACTTGTTTTACAAACGGACAATTTTCTCTATTTCTTGGTAGGATTTCTCTCCATTCTATCGGAAGAGCTTCACAAATGAACCAGATACCGCACGGTGTAGTGCCAGATATCGCTGTTATTCATTCGCAACGCGGACGTCGCGAGGCGCGAGCTAAGGGAACGAGGTCACAAATATCTGCGCCCGCTGGGTATACGTTTGAACTAGGGTTAGTTCGGATACCTATTATTTTCGCTATCCGGATAACGGATATATCCGGGTATTCCGTATATTGAATATCCGATTAACCGGATGTTCACTGCTAATTTTAGTGAACCGATTTCACAATATTTTTGTGGTAAATTGACTAAAAACCACCTCACAGTTCTATTGTGGATACGCACATATTTTTCTCGAATAAAAATGATTGCGCATTTTGATGTTGCATGTGTCAATAAATAATAATTTGAGCTCTGTGATCGTAGCGATGTACAGCGGAATAATGAAACGAAACAATTAAAAAAAATACTGTGTCCTAATTTTCTTTCCTTCCGACAGCTACGTTATTTTCTCCTATTCAAATTTTATGTAAAGATTTATGTTATTTCATACTTTATTTTTTAGAAGTTTCTTTTTGTGTCTAGCTAGAGCGTCTTTTTAAATTTTTTACTCGTACTAAATTTCAGTGTCGCAGACTCACAATGACCATTTCTGATTCTTCGCAACTTCCTATCAATTGCAATAAAATTTATTATTGTCATGTATAGTATTTTGTGTTCTATATTATTTTGTGATTTCTTTCACGACGAAATAAACTTTGTACACATATACCGTAAGAGCATACATATAAATGAAATTATCAACACAAAAAATCATGCATTTTATTTCAGTGAGAGAAGTATCCAAAAAAAAAAGAATACAGGCGGGACAAAGACCGTGAAAGTGTTTAGGGAATATCAGTAATTTGAACAAAGTTTTTAATAATAAAGAAAAATGATGATTTTGAAAGAACCGAACTAGTCAGAAACTTCTCCTAATTTGAAAACTTCACTTATTGTCACTGTAAATATTCTTATTCACTTCACTTATGTCACTGTAAATATTCTCACGTTTGTACTAAATTAACAGAGCCAAAACAATGGTGCACCAGTTTTTGAACAACTTTACTTATCACCCTAGGTGAGTAAATGGAAAACATGACACCATACAAAGTCTGTTAAATTAAACTTTGCTGAAATATTATGGACCATCTTGCAAACAAATTGTTTTGGGAAAGTTCCATGGAAACCATAAATGTAATAACAGCCCTTCCCCCTCCTCTATTTAAAATTTTCGAAAACTTCACTTATAAAGACGGTCGAATATTACAGGCTAATTTTGTTATCATCGTCGATAGTTTTCTTCCGAGCCGCGTGATTATTTGGGGAATTAACATCGGCATTATGCCAGTTTTATTTTGATAAGAAGTTACATCCCGTGAAAGTTACCCTTGTTGTTAATTCAGTAAATACGATTATTACGAAATTTTGGCGCCTAGAATAGCGTTTTGTTTTATCTATCACTGGCTCATAAATCGAGAGTCATGGTATTTACATTCACTTCCCCATTTTCAGTCAAAAAATGTGTGTTTCAGACCTACTCACTTAACGATAGATAGATACAACGATATATAACATACTACGGCGATTTCAGTTTCAGGCAAAATAAAACAATTATCGGCGTTATATACCGACGAGACCGCACCCGACTTTTCTTCCAAATATGTTGATATAAGGTAATTAATATCTGCATTTAATGTACTAAATAAATTATACCCATTGGAATTGCAACAATAGCTCAAAGTTGATAAATTCGCAAGATCGCAAAAATACGAAACTTGATTCATTCATGCAGCTTACCACATATTTTAATATCTAGAGTAGAAGTGCTTTTATTTTAACGCAACTTGAGCTTTTCTATAACGCAAATACGCAATAATCTCATTTGTTTTGCGTGTTTTGTGATGTAATAGTCAAGTTCACTTTAGCATTAGACGGATGGCTGAAATATAGGCAGAATAGTGTGGATATAAGTTGCTATTATATGCTCGGAGGAGATGATGAGAAAAATATAAAAATCACTAATGAGCATATGCATTATTTATACTGCTCTATTATCCGGTTAACCGTCATAATAATATCCGGATATCAGATAGGAAAATACCTCTCGGTTAACCGCTATCCGGATAGTCCAACCCTAGTTTGCACTCACCCATTGAATGTTTCCCCGAACATCGATTTTCTTGTTTATTTCCGTAACAATGACCAATCAGCAAAATGTGAACATCGTCATTTGTAACACTGTAAATAAAATTATGTTCATAAATGTAACTTTTTACGTCACATTTACATGACCCGCCAGTCTAGGTGGAAAAAATTGTTGGCTCCTGGTGCAAAAACCTTACCAACCCATGAACTAGCGTCACTCCAAATTCACGGCAAATGTGGCAGTCAAAACCATTTCTACTAAACAAGAAAGACGCCTAGAAGCGGTGTGGCTCAACGGGCTAAGCGTTAGGAATACGCTCGCCACCGCACCTCTAATTACTCTGCGTGGGTTCGCAGGTTCGAATCCCATGTAGGGATGGTTATGTGCGAGAGGATTGCTGGACTCCTCGCCGTCGTTGGGTGGTTCACGTAACCGCTGGTCGGTTACGGCTTCCTCCACCACCAAGTCCATGCTTTCGAAAACAAACAATACAGTAAAAACTAATCCCATACCCGACTTGGAATGGTAACCGGACGAGAGGCCGTGGTTCGCCATATGGATAAGCCGTCTTATCGGCTTTCCTCTCCCCCGGGATAAATATGTAAATCCTATCCTATCCTATATTTATCACCCTTGAGTGGCGCGACCGTATAGGCAGGCACTGCACATGTACCTCCTATATTTCGCCCATTCATATTACCGGTATATGGTCCCACCACTCCAGGGTGCTGTATCTACGCCTAAATTTTTATTTTATCATTAGACATTATGTATATATGTATTTGGTGTATTGAGTTGTCCCTATTTATATATATTGTCTTATAAACTCCCTTGTATAAACAGTTCTGTGTACTCCTTCCTTACCACTTTCGCCACACCAACCCATTGCCCCACCTTACACAATTGTCTGTATAAGGGACCATATCATATGCATTTAATCTGACATTTTTTGTTCTGTACTTGTCAAAAGGGGTGCATGTCGCACATTTGTGTTTTAGGCCAGTACGGTCTTGTGCATGCGTCCCGTCTCCAATAACAATATTGTCAATTTTTTATATTGCTTACTACCACGAGACTAATAAACATACATACATACAATTAGAAAAATCTGTACCATGCAGATTACTGGTATTACCACTACTGATTTACTGCAACCAACCCCTGTACGTACGGCTCCCAATCATAAAGCTGGATCAGAAAATACCACACAGTGTTTTTACCATATACTATATGTCACAGGGTGAGATTATCCATGTAGTACTTATACGCCGCATGTTTTTAACCAATCTGAAATGAAGACCACTTTCCTGGTCGTTTTCCTTGTGTATTTTTTTTTTTTTCTAAATGAAGTTCAAATCAGAACCGTCTTAACTCAAACAACCACCATAACACCATGATAAGTAAAAGCAAAGCAAATGAACAAATTGTAATCAAACCCATAGTTTTATTAGTACAACTTAGAAGTTACATTATAAGGGAAACGAGTAGTAAGAACTTTATTTAAGACGTTTAGGATTTCAAACACATGCAGTGTTATAGTTAAAATAATTATACTATTGAATATTAAAATTGAATTAGATAAGAAAGCCTTTTTAACAGAATAGGACACTAAGTCATTAGGATAAGTAAACAAACATCAACTACTTTTTTCAACACCAAATCTGTAATTTAAAATAAAAGTGCTTCAAAAAAACTTTCCAAATATATCTCTTTAGTTTCAGCACTAATGCATATAATTACAATATAATTATGTAATCATTGTAATTATATTACAATTAAATCTATGGAAAACAAAATCAAGTCCCAATGCATAAGGTGAAACATTTTTGCAAAAATCGGGCTTTTGTACAATGTGAAACTACTTCTGAAAGAAAATATCCATTCTACATTGACTTTCTATTTTGTGATAAAACTGGATGGCAGGCAAATTTCAGATAGTCAGGAATATAAAAATACCGTTTTCGGTCAGAATTGTCAGAACCAAAATTGTGGGCAACAGATTCCAACTTACAGGCAGTTAGAAACAACTAAAATTGTGAAATTACTGAATACAAACAACAAGTGATGTAAAAATCTTGTACCACTTCGATATGCAATCTCACTTAACATGATCTCAATCGCACAGGAAACTTTGGTAAGCATTTAATCACATATAGACATTCTCATAGAATTCAGTTCCTAACTAAAATCACTGAGATCCCACAACCGTTGAGATCACATACCGAAGTAGCACTAAAATCTCATCTGTGAAATGATATATTATGTATGTTGATGAAAACTAAAAAAATACTCTCATGATCACATAATCAATTTAGTCAAAACAATGAAATATTTCATAATATATTAAACGATACATTTACACTTATAACATCTAATAGAGATTAATCCAACTTCGTATAATATACCGGTAATACATTGAAAAAAATATCAGATAAAATACCACCTCAAAAAGAACTAAGATGAGCCAAATTGGGAATAATGATTTTGTGCAGAATAATTTAGATATCTGTAAATTGTAGACATTGCGATATCAAGGAGTAAAGGCAGGGGTAGACGTTTTGCATGAATATTAGGGAAATACAAATCGTTACCTGAGTACTAAATAGAGGATCACAAGGTTTTTTGAATGCATGATAGATATAATAGGTAAGTAGAAATTGAAGAAAAGTTTGCGATAGATATACTTATACACCAAATTATGAAATTTTCCCCAAGACAACATCATATTCGTTGCTCGGTGATGGATGATATTCACTAAAGCGATTATGACTGTGTATGGTAGAGAAACACTGTTCTTAGGGGTTTCGATTTAACTTTCTATACATTCATTTTTACTGATAAAGTTCTCAAGTAGCTAAAACATATATTATTTTAAATCTCTACAGCAATCCTTTCAAATATATCTCATATTAGGGTCATCAAAAATAACTATACGACAATAAGATACTGAGCAATGTGCAAAAAAAAATGGAACAGATAAACAAGTTGAAGAAACACTATTTTCGCTACGCCCTGATTAAATAAAGTAATGTTATATAACTGCATTTTTATTAACGAAAATGGTATTTATGATATCTTCCATATTAGATTGTACGCATCAATCAAGTGTGTATAAAAATACTATAATAGAACCACATTGAAAGGCAACATAGGTGCAACGGACAGTATGACAAAATTTGGATTAAAGTGAAAAATTTGTATAACATAACTGTTAATTTTTTGATCTGTCCGCAAAAATCGAAAAATCAGAATACATTAATCGAAACATAGGTCTTTTGAATGTATCATGAAACAGAGAAAAATAAACAAAAACTCTAATACGACTAAAAAGAAAAAACCTACTGCATTCTACAACACATAACAATACATTAGAATTAACATACATGCAATAACAAGTGGTGAAGAAGTACCAAAAAAAATTTCTTGAATAATAAGTTTGTCCATAATCTGAAAATCTCTTGTTTATAAGAATGGTGAAACAAAAAAAATAATGATATATACTGAAAATGTTCTCATGATAACAGTTTGATCAAGAATTGATCTCAGACGAATATGGGCAATAGGGCATAACACACTGCTGAAGAATATTCAAGATGCCTATCGACTATCGAGCTAACCAAATAGTACAATAAAGGTAACATTTTAAAGTAATGGCACTGGAAATATTCCATTTTAATAAAGTAGGAAATGGCAAAATGATGAAATTCCATATAGCGTTTTACAATTTAGGTCAAAATTGACTATAAATCAACTATTTAAATCAAACAAACAGTATCTATAGTGAAATACAGACAATGCACGCCTTAAACAAATATTAATCTTTTCAAAGCACACACATGATCTGTTAAGCATGACCACTAAGAATGCTACATTAGCAGTCTGTAATGCTTCATCACAACCAAGGTATGCACAAATAGACAAAAGGGCGGTATGACCTGTCCCCACCCACGCAGCAAATTGAATTTTCAAATTTTCAGCCAATAGGAGAGATAAAGACAAAGGTAACTAATTGAAACTATCAGCAAATAGGTGGGATATCTTAGTATAAAAGATCTTGGCACAAATTATCGTAAAATTGGGCCATAATTATGAAAGTATGCTACTATCTACTAAACTGAAAATGAACCACAAAGTAAATATAATTTCAATCAAAACAGGGAACCGCTTCCATGTCCTCACTTGGAACTCTATTTTCTTCCACCTGCAGCAATGCAACAGGAGCAACAACACACGAGTGCCAAAATGATGTAAGCAGTCGTGATGATCCAAAATGCAAAATAATATGTCACTGGATCACAATAATTTTCAAGTACAGGATTACCTGTATTTTTCGACGAATATGCTCTGTAGACCCATACATTTCCTAAAAACATTTATAAAAAAGTTTTAATGAATTACCATAAGCAAATTAGGTACATAGCATCAGGATTTCGAAATATTATAGGAAAAGAAAATTTTATAGTATTGAATACAGTTTACTGACTATAATATCCCATATGACGATATGACTAGGGAATTATGGGAAACATATCAATGACTGTTCACATTTTATTCTTACTCAATCGCTAATTAAAATTTCGTTAAATTTAAAACAAAAATAGCACTGAATTTTCTCAGAAATTCAAAACAAGTCAATATCCATTGAAGCAAATCTAATTATAACAGTCTGAAATTTATTACTGATAAATATTTGCCAATAGACTGAAAAACTATAATACCAAATAAAAGCAAGACTTATTTAATAATTGTAAAATTTATTAAAACCATTTACTTTCTCCAAAACAGATAATCAAATATTCGAATCCTATACAGGATAGACACAATTTGGCTTATCAACATATAATTAAGCATACCAGCAAAAAACCATGCAATATTGAAACACCCGATAAGACCATTAAATCCATTCAGCACAGAGGAAGATTGTGCTTCTTCCTCAGGATCGTCAATTCCGTCACATTTAGCCTTGATTTTTTTGAAGATAGATCCAAGTTGCATGAATGCACTGACTGAACCAGCTACAATCAGCCATATTGGAATAAAACGTTCAAGAGGACAATTGTTCAAGTTTATTGCCCCTGTTAAAAAAATGCCATAGCATATTGTATAATTATTGGAGCATTTAGGGATCTAGCTTTGGTGAACTTAGCAATAATCTAAACTATTAATGCTGGTCTTACTTAACCTGCAAACTAATAGTAGTTGAAATGTTATTAACATATGATTGGTTGATTAGATCAGGAGTGTGCAACCTTTTGTACGAGTGGGCCAGATACAGATAACTGGGTGAAACCGCGGGCCGCACCTTTATTTAGCATGTGCCTTCTAGTCAGGCACAAAAATTTTGGTTATTGATCTTATGACATGCGTTGTTTGCTTCGCACAAGTTTTGCAACGCAAAGGGATTGGAATTACCCACACTTAAGAGATTAAATCAAATTAAAAACCTGTTTCGAGGGCCGCACACCATTCAAAATTGGCCTTTTCTCCCCGGGCCGCACAATTTTTCCCTGTGGGCCGCAGGTTGCACACCCTTGGATTAGTTCATAAAAAATTTCTGTCTATATGGTTCATAAAGTTTCAATTTCACTGATGATCTGTTCTCATTCCTGACCCATCCGACGGATTACTTTAATTTCAATGTCTACTCAATGATTGAGCTTCTTTTTTCTATTCTAGCATACTAATGAAAAATGATGCTCGCATGCAACATTGCTCAATAATCATTTCTTTTTCTTTGTAATGAGTATTGTACTATTTACTTGTCCATGTTATTCTCAATTGTATTGTATTAATAGGTTTTTCTCACCAATAGCAATCATTGACACAGGGATGCACAGCATAATTGCAATGAAGATGGTGAATCCAACTGCGAAAAAATAATAAAAACTTATTAAGAGTTTACCAAGGTTATTGTGAAAGCCTCATCCAGTCACGCTGTGATTCAGTATTGACTCGATGACTATTTAATATATTATTATCAGTATTATTTTCACACGAATAATATTAAATCTGCAAAACGTGTTTAAATGAAGTTCTAACTCTCATTTTTCAAGCTTCAGAATGTGTTTACTATGTAATACTATGTATGGAGTATAGCATGATTGAGGAAGTCCTGACTTTGATCAGGCATTACAGAAATACATTGTGTCAGTCGGTGAATTACCTAGGATAGTCATGTTTATCTCTGCTATAGCATCATTGCCTTATAAACATAAGGATCCACTCTGACAAAGTCATCGACAAAGAAAAGTCATTCATTCCCATGTAGCCTGACCTATTGTTTGAAATGTGTAATCTAAAAATTTATTAGCTAACTAATCTTTAATTAACACTTACTTGTACTGAATATGATGAAGCAAACACTTTTCAAAAAATCTGCACTTCCTGTGGATTTATCTTTTGCATCTTTGATTTGACCAAATAAAGAATCGTAAGATGGTGGAGGTGCACTGTTCGTAGTATCAGTGTATGTGGGTGGTGCTTCAGCATCCACTATGTAAATAAAATATTACATGTTAGTTCATTATTGAAAGTATAAAATATTATATTTGAAAGATGATTGATAGAAGATATATGAAGATACCGTAATTGTAAGTAGGATCAAGATGAGAGTTTCGAAAGTTTCAGATACAAGTTGAATAAGGTATGCCTACAGTTCATGATGGATGATGGTATTGCTTTATTACTGGTATTCAAGAATTTTTAGTTTTGGTGTTGCTAACGTGCTATGATGAAAAAATGAAGTTTAAAAGTAGCATGGTCCACTGAAATTGATTAAGAGTTTAGTATGATGAAATGTAAACAAAAAGTGAATCAATTCAAAAATTCATCACAAATTTCTAAATCTGATACAAAGCAAAGTATGACACCCTTAAATAATAATGAATAAAATTTTAATCCAAATCAATCAATAGAAAATTTCATCAAGATTTTGAAGTTCTACTACCCTACCACTATCATGAAATGAAGTTAGCATCGATAGAATAGCATCTCTAAGTGAGTTATGAAGCACATCAAAGCAGAATAGCAAATTCAGTAACTCAGACCAACAATTGATATTATAATAAAGTATTGCATAAAATGAATGATCTTCAACTCAACAACAATAGTGTAACAGTATTTAATTACTTTATAATATTATTAGGAGAATCTAATCCTTGCTTTCATGCAGATGGATGATATATAATTTCAATAAACATATCCATTGAAATAAGTAACAATAGAACATGCAAGTATGAATAGATTATTTCAGTTGAAAATGACATGAAAACAGCAATTCCACAAGCATATCACACCACTAATAATCTATACAGATGCCAGAATTTTTTTGTGGTGAAGCTGTGACAAATTGATTGACGATATTCCATTTGCCGCAATTAGGGAATAAACGAAAATGTATTACAACAGGCAGACCACAATTTAATATTCATTAGTCAGGTCATTAGATTGTCTTGTCTACAGCCAAATATTAATCCATAACTTCCTTTTGGTAAATAAATACATGCTTATTCATATTGTGATTTGCAATATTAACTGTTGTCAATTTCCACCAATTGATTCAGTAAAGAGCGCCTAAATAGAACACAACCATGCTTGAGGGTTATTAAATAATTACTGGGAGTTGTGAATAAAGAATATGGCATGCTGTGAAATTTATAAAAAACCCAAATGGCATAGCATTCCAAATGATGACAAGATGTCCAACTCCTACTCACATTTTAAAGGATCTGTAGACATATTTACTTTTCTTATTAATTTCTTTTAAAAATTAAATTACTGTAATTGATATAGATCTGAAGACATATAAGCCAATATGCTCTCAATATTAGGAAAACAAAATAGTGATAAAGGCACATGCCTACATAAAAAATTTTCATATCAGAATGACATTGTTTTTGACAAAGTTAGATTTTGGCTTTTGGTTAACACAGATACACTCAATTGTTCGATGAAATAGACAATATAATAGACAATTGTATTATAAATCAAATCACAACACTGATAATATTGGATCACGAACGAAACTAGATAAATTATAATTTATAATACAGCAAAAGTCATTACATATTCCACAACACAATCATTCTTAGAGACCAAAACACAAATACACTTTTTAATGATATGATATAGGTATTTCATTATTTTAAATTTGGTAAAAAGGAGTTTATATTCAAAATATATCAAATCTTTAATCTAATTCACAATTCAGATATTTCTCACATGTTTTAGTCAATCATGTCAATTCATCAACTGAATTCATATTTTACTCCACCCTGCTCTCACCTGTAATCTGTTCCGGAGCGACAGCCATAGTACATTTGTATAAAGAATTACAATTCAAAGCAGTAATATTTCAAGCTATTTCATTTCAAATCAGACTGAAGAACAGTGTAAACGTAAGCCTAAGACATGAAGCAATCAATTGTATGCATTCTAGTTTGAAACTTCCCAAGTAATCAATTTTTCAAATATGCAATTTCCCTCTCCGTATCATATGACAAACAGTAAAGCCTAAATTGGTATTATATACATGCCAAACATGGCTCATTGAGAGATAGAGATTTAAGAGTACAAATCATATATGGCCCACTCCTATTTTTAGCTTATATTCGAGAAATATCTTTTCGCAGCTTGAGAGTAGCAATTGATATTTTTGTATCAATTATGCAAAGCTTTTGAAACCTGCTGACTGTGTATTCTAAATTTGAGTTTGTGCGTGTGAGTGTGATCACAAGACAGTTTGGCTATATGAAAAAATCTTGATGAAACATCATAAGACAATAAAAATAGTAAGCATTATTAAAATGTGAATATTGCAGATATTGTATAAGATAAAATGTATAGGTCATTCACAGGAATAGCTTTGGATTTCCGTTCACATATTCATTTAATTAAAGGTATTAAGTTCAAGAAAAAAGACTCAAATTATTGAAGATGATGGGGTGAAGTCAGGCTGCATTTTGCAGGTAGAATACAGGACATGTAGGCATTAATCATAAATTTGGCCAGTTATATTGTAGTTATATAATTCTTGGAATGATATATTAAAGCAAATGCGGTTTACAAAATTATTCTTACTTGGGAAGAATCAAAATGATCAATATTGAAATAATAAGCATATATAAATATCTGGGACAACATCACATTTTGCAGATAAGCAGTATGCATAGAAAGTATTAGGGTAATGAAATTAAATAATAATGCAACAGAGCTGACAAATCATTTACACTTAACATAAACTGAAAAAGAATTATATGCATGTGGAAAATACCTTCTGTTGGTTCACTGTGACCAGGTGCTGATGCATCCTCCTCAGTTTCTAAGGCTCCATAAGATTTTTCATTCGACATATTTGAGCGTTAGTTAGATATAATTCAGATAAGAAGAGCTTAACTGGACTATTGCAGACTTGTATGGGGTATAACCTATCACAATTCTGTAATAACAAAATGATAATTTCTCATTAAAAGGCATTGGACAGTTGGATGTAAATGTGGTATTACTCACTTCTTACTATTTTTTACCAATACCAGAATACAGTAAATGCATGTCAAAGGAGAAATGACAACCATTCAGCATTGAATTATCAACTTCAAGGCCACATTTACAATATACCGGTACTTACAGACCATTATTTTTGTCAATTTATGATTCAAAGACAATGCACAGGTATTCCTAAACCATCTGAGCTATTGACCTGATTGCAACTGCAAAAATAAAATAAAAAGGTTGTTGCATCATTCGAGAATCACATGATTGTCCTATAAATTGACTGTGCATCATTCTAAATCATGAACACCTCCTTCAAAATTTAAAACAACAAAACTTACTATCATGAACACCCCCTCCAACATTTAAAATAACGGAACTTTCTATTTTTATTAAATCAAAACAATTTTTTGCTTCAAAATATCTGCGTCATTCCACCAACACCCACGCGGCTTTTGAAAGCAGACAGCATTTCGTTCTGCGTATTGCCACAACTCACTTCCTGTGCTCATCAATACCATAATTTCCTTGCTGGTGAAATATTTTTTCAATTGTTACATGTCTGCTTGCCATATAAAAATAGCATCAAATTAAAATAATCATGTGATATAAAATGGCTAATACAGTAATAATAAACATGCAGCACAGCATAGATTAAATTGGAACTGACGCTTCAACTTATTATGCAGCAACTCATTGTGTTAGCTGGGCAATACGGTACCTACAATTGCATAGACATGTTTCCTACAGATAAATATTATATTGATAAGATAGTCCAAAGAAATAACGGTGAAACGGTATATTTCAATAACAGCCAAGAAATAATAATTCAATGAGAACAGTATAATATCTGAATATATTTATCTCTGAACTAACAGGCTAACTGAACCTGCATAGCAGCATAGTAAAATACTTTCAGACTTTTACAGGTTTAACAGTTCAGCAGACAAGAGTTAGCGTTACTACAGCAAATTCTTCTGCATTCTTATCAATATGAACAGGAAATGAAAGCCAGGTGGAAAGATGATCAGCGGATCTACACAGAACAAGAGCCTCGAAGGATTGATTTTGATCAAATTGAAGTCTCGAATGAGCGAAACAAGAATTCAAACTAATCAAAAGAACTAAATTGAGAATGTGACTTTGACATAAACAAGGTCCATAAATGATATGTGTAAGTTTGCTTGAAGCAAGTTCATAATGATTCAACTAAAGACAGAAAGGTGGGGAAAAGATAACTGCTACAAACCGCTGTGTCATGCTAGAAAAAACCATTCAATGCTAAGGAAACATAGTTTGCTAATGTATGTCTTGATACAGTTGAATTTGGAAATATTTTACTGTCGCGCACAATTTGTTCTAATATGCATTATTATATTATGTTTCCTACATGTAAAAGAATAGCAATGAGCAACCCACCAGTCAAGTGAAACTTTCAACTTGTACTTCTCTAAAGGGCAATTTTTCCGTGCAGACAGGTTAAAAGAGATTTCACAAAAGTGGCGTCAAATATGTTAAAACTGATGCATCCATTTTATTTCTGTGAATTCGTACAGAAATGTTAGAAAATTATTATTTCATGACTATATGTTGACACCGTTATATTAATGTATCGTTATGTTTATCTATTGTATGACTAGTATTAGTTGCCACTATTTACCGATGCAATTAATAATATACGGTATATACTACAAACTTTTTCATACTTCAAACGTTATGATACGTTAAAAATATTGGTATTTATTATCTCAATTTTAAGAAATTCTCGTGTTGCATCACCTACATATATATGATATATTATATATACCGTCTGTAATCCTTGCACTAATTTCAATCTAGCTAATAGGGTAAATACCACACGCCTTTCAATAAAATTACTGTTGATGTGATTAAACGCCAATTCAATTAATTGCACAACAAAATATTCTTGTAGGGATGTAGGATATTTCACCAATTTCAATTTAGCTAATAGGGTAAATACCGCACGCCTTCCAATAAAATTACCGTTGATGTGATTAAACGCCAATTCAATTAATTGCACAACAAATATGTATTTTTATCGTCAAGCCATTAAAATTCACAGAAGTGCGGCACCATTTAAAAAGCGCTGCATTCATTGCAGCATAACTGATTAAAACTGTTAAGAGCGCCGGAAGTAATAACCCCATCACTAAAGTGAATATTACTAAGTAGCCTAACTACCGAAATATAAAATTTGAAAAGTATTAAATCAAATTAGAATGTGCCATTTCAAAAGAACACCATACGCATTGAAAGCTCATCAGTAATAAAAATATGAAAGAACAATATGGAAATGGCTATGCATTAAAATTTGTCCATACATTAAAACTAGATATATATATATATATACCAAAAGCAGTTTAATGTGATATAGGTTAATGCTTATATTATTGTGTACATACCCGAACTGAGCAATTTACGACGATGCTATAAATTTTGTGAGCATGTAATGCACTTGTCGAAAAACAGATTTACGTCACTCTACGTCTACGTCGTGTGAATAACATTAATTTTTTCAATAATACCAAAAACGGCATTGATGAAATCAAGTAATCGGGATTTATTTTTTTTTCACACACATTTTTTACGTTTTTTTTCCTATTTTATATTGATAATAATTCTGTTGATAAAGCTTGCGCTTTGAATTTTCCACCACGATTATGATAGTCGTGTTCACTATATGGCATGTCCCTATAAAAGGGATTGCATATATTTTTTCTAGTTCGCGACCGCTCCCAATTTGATGATTTCAGAATTATGTATGGAGCGCCACCATCCACAAAATGTCGCCACTTTAATGGAAATCCCACGACTGCAATCAAGTTTAACATTCATGAGCATTCTAGCAAAATACTGTATAGTGTATTATAAAATTACGTAACACTCACAAGAGGATATCTATGGCGCCATAAACTCGGCCGCTGGCAACATAGCCTCGGGATATCCATAAGATTAGGATGTTTTGTCCGACTCTTACCGCCAGGCACGAAAATATATTGAATAATATGACACCGTGACAGTTTAAAATAACACTTCAAACAGTTTGTCGTTGAAAAACAAGAATGAAGAGCAGCAATAAACAAAAAATAATAGTTTTGCTTAACCTGTGCCTGTTATTTGCATTTTCCGGCGGAACAGAAAATGAGGAAAAACGAGCTGTTGTACGGTTGAAGCAGAGTGCAGTTGAAGGCTCAATTTTCAGTTTAGGTGGAGTTTTAAAAGTTGAGCAGTATTTAGGAATTCCGTACGCTCAGGCTCCAATCGGGGACTTACGATGGAAATCCCCCAAAAAATATGATGGGTGGCAACACGAGAAACCATATGCCACGACATACGGACCTAACTGCCCCCAATTGGCAATTTTGTCAGACCCGACAGCTGATGCAAGCAAAGTAATTGGAAATGAAGATTGCCTATATTTAAATATTTATCGCCAGCATAGATCTACTGACGCACCTCTCCAGCCGGTTATGGTGTTCATACATGGTGGCGCTTGGATGTGAGTAAATCAGGTCCATGGGGGAAGCTAAGCCTGATATTATATTGCTTTATATTAAGAGAAATGGTCTTTTTCGAACGATTCTTGACTTTTGTTTCCATAAGTTCGAGCACTTTCATGTCGCCTGTGTAGAGTTTTTGGCGGTTCAAAAGTTTTTTAACACTTACGAAAAAATAATCATTTTATAACAAAAATTTATATATACTTTGTAATATCAATCCAAAATCATTTGAACTACGCTTCGAAAATTTTGCAAATATTCAAATTAAGGTTGTGGATCCAGTAAAAAACTAACTTTACATAATGTATCTGAAAGTTCTTGAGATATTTTAGTTCTGGCTTATTAAAAAGTAACACTCTTAACTGAGTGAATTTGGTTTTTAATTTTGACTGATAAAGATCATAACCGACACTTTTCCAGAACTTCCATGATATTTGATCGTCCTTCTGTAAAATTGTGAATATTTTTGTTATTCTTCAAACAATTGAGAATCAGTTGACTTAGCTCTCAACTGCAATGCTGATTATTATCAATCAGAATAATACGAAATAAACATGTATATATATTATATATATAGCAAAAACTACATCGCATCAAATAAAATGTTTTTGTCGATTGAAATGCAATTGCATATTGAAATAAATTTCAATCAATGAATGTCAAGTTTACCCGCGTACCTTGATAAGAATTTAAATACATTACCGGCATACATGAAGACCTTCGACCATGTCTTCAAATAAACTACGTCCTTGCCAGATGGCTATCCCAAGTTTGCTGATAATTCTTGGAGTTTCAATATATATTTTTAATACGTTCACAGATATAGTTCTGCTGACATATACAGGGCATATGCATTGGCAACGTTTGGAAGCGTTATTGCGGTCACGTTCAATTACAGACTGGGGGCTTTGGGATTCATAAGTTCAGGTAAGCAAGAGTGTACGGCGAACCTGGCACAAAAATGCTGTTTTTCATGCAAAGTGAACTCCTAAGTGAGTTATTTAATTTTGACTTTATGCTCATACTTTCGAGTATTGACAACTGGAATAACAGTTTGGGTAGGATTGAACAAAGGCCAAACTTTGTTTTTTAGAATATACAGCTCTCTGTGCATTATTTTAGTTGTCTTGGTGTAAATTGTGAGATTACATGTCTTAAACGCGCAAGTAATAAACAATACTAATTATCAAACTCCCTTTACCTGTAGCAATTTAACATTTTGAAAATAATAGATAACTTTAAATATATATATACAACTATCGGTGTGGTATTTTTAACTAGAAAACATTACCAAAGACGGAATGTTTAACGGAAACTACGGACTACTAGACCAATATGCTGCTCTGTCATGGGTTCAAGAATATATTGAGTATTTCGGAGGAGACAAAAATCAAGTTACCATATTTGGGGAATCTGTAGGTGCAGTTTCGGTCTTGCTACAAGCGATGTCACCCTTTGCTCTGCATACCACTTCTAGTGATTCGAAACAGCCGAGTTTGTTCAAACGGGTGATAGCGCAGAGTGGAGTAACGTTAGTTCCAGGTGCTATATCCAAACCAGGAAGTGCAAAGAATTTTATTCTTAATTCTCCATGTTCCGATCTCACGGAGAACGAAATGTTAGAATGCCTTAAAAACTTGACTGCAGTTGAAATTGTTCGCTTGCAGAGAAATTTTCAGTGGAGGCCTGTTGTTGACAAAAAGTTTATTGGCGATTTTCCTGATTCTTTTATGAAAAATGAACAGCAGAACTTTCGAGGAATATACGATTTCATTTTGGGCTTGAACGATGTGGATGTTATTAGTGTATTGTTCGATGAGATCTCTCAAGTAAAATCATTGAGTATGCTTCAAAGCTACACCAATAGAATTTTGGCGCGGAGCTATGACAACACAGAAAAGGTTAGTTTGACTTAGAAAAAGAGAACATAGTCTAAAACTGACAAAATATTCACAAGAACGATCTTAAAATAAAACGGAGAATATATATGTAGTTTTCGTTTACATTAATTTTCAGTACGTATGGCACTGAATGAAGCATTGTATTAAGGATCTTTCTTCTGCTACTCCATATATAAAACATAAAATTTAAATACATTTATTTGAATAATTCATGCACATCGTGAATTTAAACGAAGTATTGGACATTAAAGGCAAATAACACAATATTATATTGCAGAATAGATTTCTGCTACCGTACGAAACTTCATCACTGAATTTTAACTGTTCTTATTAGGTCACAGATATTGTCATCGAAAAATATCTTAACATTTCGTCCGAAGAAAACAATTCAAACAAATGGAGGAGAATAGCACTCAATATCACTAGAGATTTCACCTTACTTGCACCCACAATCAAATTTGCTGATATCGCATCATCTGATATGCGCTCCAATGTTTACTTGTATTATTTTGTGCAAACTCCTTCGGATGGATTGATCAACGCTCAATTAGGTGAGTTTCCACAAAGCCAAATAGTCTTAGTCTAACACACGCCTATGCAATTGCGCGTAAATGCATTGGACCATCGATACGCTTTGAGACACATAACCTAATCGGAATTTTAAGGTTCTTATTCCATTGATACCGTTGACACATTTTATCAAACAAGTGTGAGGATTTCAATTTAACGGAATAAAATTATTCACTCTATTCGAATGGTCTATTGGTCACAACGGTCCATATTATATTTTTTGAAATTTCAAAGCAATATTTTTACATTTCTGATTCACACTGTCTATTTTTTCCAGCTATTCCGCGCAACAAAAGCCAGGAATGGATGGAGGGAGCAAGACACACAGAAGAACTCCCGTATGTTTTCGGTGCCCCATTCAGCTTTTCCGATACCAGTCAAGGCGACAAGACACTTAGCATGCAAATGATAATTTATTGGACCAATTTTGCTAAAACCGGGTGAGGAAAATAGGTCATTATATGTCTTCTAATAGGGGACAGGTTACTGCGAATAGATTCTAGATAGATACTCTAACATTTCAATACGGGATCGCTCAAGTCAGAAGCCGTTCGTCACCGTTTCATGGGACATATTATATATATATATATATCATATTATTGGACACGTAGTGGACATAACGATTGTTTCAAAATTTTGTAGTTATTGTTATATATTATTTGTCTCCGTCAACACGTTTTGAAGAAATCGCTTTTCTCTTCGAATACTGGACCAATTGCTTTGAAATTTTCAGTGGTTAAAGATAAAAATTTTCTCCAGAAGGCAATAGCTTTTTTTTTGCTATGACGTCATCAAAATAATGTGACTCTACGTGGTCATATATTTGAGCATAGCTAACTTGTTAATTTAGACGAGTGCAAGTAAATACAAATAAGCATATTAATCTAAATTTTCTTATATTTTTTATTCAACTCATTTATTTACCATATCTATTTGATGTTACTCAGAAAATTTATTAAACGTCTACCTTGTTATCTGTTACAGTACTTGCAAGCGATTGTTATTTTAAAATATTCCTACCCCAGACGTTCGACGCGCTTTCAAAATTTCCGTTATATGCTAGAAACCCCAACAGCAATGGAGTACGGGTCGCCTGGCCGACTTATAATTCTTCAAGTGGTAAGTACATGCGTTTTGGAAGAAAGAGCAGCCACGAAGATTTGGTTGAAGTACGAAGTCACCTAACTGGAGATCTATACAAATTTTGGACTGAAGAGATATCAATCCTGTCTCATAAGCGAAAACAGGTAACCAACAATAGCATTGATATATACAGTCATATTCTTAGTTCCCCTTGATTTTGTCAATATGGTGGTTCGAAGATTTTGATCAAAAACAGTGTTTTTTTCATTTTTCAGATAAAAAAACACGAGGGAAAATTGATGAACACCGAAGTTATTGTTTTACCAGTTGTCGCAATTGCAATAATCATGTTTGCAATGGCCATAATTATCATGAAAAGTTAGTTATATGTATTAAGAAATTATATATTGCACAGAACGATAGACTCATTCACCTTTTCTCTAAGTTTAATTACTGATTATATCGCTACACCCTATATCACTGGTGCTCACCCGTTTTTTGATACTTACCTCCATTGGTCTATTTTAAAACACTTCATTTCTCCCATACTCATAACAAATGTTTCTATTTGTCACTCAATTTCAAAGATTTGACTTAACTTGTGATACGCACGAATAGAACTCTAGTTTTTGTACAGTTTGAACAGTATATATATAATTTCTGCATAAATAATCATTACAATAATACGAAATAGGCCAAAAATATTTGTAATACTACAAGCAGATACGAAGTAAAATATCCTCCGCTAAAACCACAAAGTTCCTTTCTGGATGGAACGCTGCTCTAAGTAGTCTATGTTCCGCATATTTTCTTCTAATTATATCATACTGCTTCGGTTATTTTTGTCGTTCTTCATTTCGTCTTTTTATTTAGTAACCAGCGCCGCAAAATATGATGACAGCGAAGTGTGGTAAAATGACCCAATTCCATAATATTTCTTCATTAAATTTAAAGACTCAGAAGCACTAAAATTATGAAGTATACTTCAAACGAATATATATATATTGTAAACTGGAAAATACTGATAAAAACGTAGTAGACATATATATGAATTGTTTATAGTGCAAGACGAGCCTCGAATTTTTTTTATCTCTTTCTTTGTAGTTCAATTATTGGATTTTTCAAAAACTTCGTCTTCTGAATAATTTTCTATAAACTATTTTGTTTAAAATTACTGACCAGAATCTTACACTTCAGGTCCATATCATCGCAGGATAATACATTCTTATGTACATTCGATTTGCTGCTGCTGTTGCCGGAAATCGTACAGTACTTCGTTGCGAGAAGGCGGTGAAGGTGCCGAATTAGTGAAATGTGAACCTATAAATCTTCGATCATACGCATAACTAACTGTCTTTGTTTCCAATATTTATTACTTCGATTTGATTACACTGTTAAATTTTTGAGCCTGATCTCAGTAAGAATGTTTTACCTGAATATTGTGAGTGCACAATAACTGCTATAGATTACTACGGGACAGACGATCTAGATGGCACAGGTGGGTCGAAATAGATATTTGAAGCGGTAATTTTCGGCGAAAGATGCTTCGTATACCATCGAGCTCTGATCGAATGTCACATAACCATGCTAAAATGTTTGAAACACCGACGGACCAACGTCTGACAACCGAATGATTGGATGTTTCCCTGATCCTTGACCCCAGAATATGTCCATTCCTCATTATTGCAAATTTTTCGATGCTCATTTGAAGTGTGTTCGCATCGTTATACCCAAGTTTTGCAAACGTTTAAAAATAGTGCACGCGAAACTGAAAAAACGAAACGTGCTTAATTAATCGCGTTAAAATAATATTTGGACGACTGCATAAATTACCGATTGTTACGTCACAATTAAATTACTGCTGTGCTGATTGGGTATTTTTACAGAAGTAAACGAGAAATCGATGCCACGGAATGAATCCTAGTTTGCGAGTTAACAGTACGCACCGGTTAAGAGTAATTCGATAGCAAGGCGGATAGAATCCTGGTTAAGACACATAATTTTCATCTTGGCTAAGTACAACTACGTTTAAAAAATGAAACACTTCACACATGTTTAATATGTTTATTATGTCCGATAATGTAGGTGGAATAGGAATGAATTAACTAATTGTAACAAGACAGATAACAAAACAAGTAAGTTATGAGTATTAAGATGATCGTCAAGGACTGCCACATGATGGTCATCGAAAAATCACCCTTCGGTCCATGAATGGGGTATAACTCGTAAAAGCACAATAAATAACAAAGTATTTAAGTGGCACTGGAATTAAAGTTTAGCATTATGTGATCATATGGTGTTTGTGGTCCTAAACCCAGGAATGTTTTTGGGTGAAAAAAATCTTTTGGGTGAATTCATAATCTCGACCTAAATTTGAGAAAAAAAATAATTGGTTACCAGAGCACACAATGAGCAAAAAATGAGAAAATATTAGGAAAGCAATCAAAAAATCCCAACAAAATGATTTTTAATTTATAACATATATCCTACATCGTTTTGGGAATTTACATAAAATTAACAAATATTACAAGAATCCGTTGAAAAAACGGCCAATTTCGAGATAAACACTGCGCGTATGCGTACACACCGGTTGGGTTAGTTTGTTTTTATTTCGATATAATACTACATAGTTTACAACCATTCATCACTTCGGGTAGTTGGATTTAATCTACATATCAATATTAAATCACAAATCTGGCGTTTGTTAGTTGATCTCATTAACAACATTATAAATTGTTACGTCATAATACATCGACAATTATGAAACAATAATAAACAATCTTTCTTTTTTTATAATTCACATATGACCACTAAATATTTATAAAGCAATCAAGCCGTGCCAAAGGTTGGTCAAAATACAAATTCATACATGTTTTATAACTGGGCCCCACACCCCTATAAATCCATTTTTATTTGAAAAATGCAGGGTTATCAAGAATTTTTTTCGAATGATTTTCGTTAAAAAAGACAATACAGATATACCAATAAACGCAATACAAAGATAATTATAAAGTTGTGATAGCCAGAGAAACTATATGCAACGAAATTAGACATGATTTTCATAAACAGAATTATTAAAAGATTGAGACAAGCAAAATTACCCTTCCCGTTTCGCAGTGAAATAATGAGTTTTTTCGTATATTAATAACGCGAAATTTGACATGTCCGTAGTTAGCTCTAAATTGATCCAGTTGGTCAAAATAGCTTGCGTTGAATATAATTCGGACGTGGACAGGCGGGTGTCGCCAAATGACGAACGCGAGTAGTTCATTCTACCATCGATAGAAAGATAATACAACAATTGACCCAAACGTGAACATAAACTAATATTATATGGTTTGAAATGTCCATGCCATCAGGCGCTGTACATACTTGCCTTGAGATGAGGACGTACTGTACAAAACCAAGCTTATATAATTCAAAATTTACGATGATTCTTAGCAGTTCAAGACAAAAAAATAAAAATAAAGCAGCCGACGTGGTTAAGACATTTAAATTGAATATTGCGGAATGCCGCTGACACTGCTTGAGTTTAATTTGAATGTTTGGTGCGGAAAATAAAGAACATCATCTTAGTTATTTTCACTCTGTCGTTCGTTTTCAATTTCACGAGTTCTTTTTATTCGTTCAGGCTTCAGCTTTCTCCTGGTCAATGGCTGAAAAATAAATGTATTTGTTACAGCAATGAGATGCAAAATTTACACATCTGCACTAGAATATATACAGATTTGTTTATATTCAATTGAATACTGAATAATTATTTTGTGAAGCAAATTTATTCAACAGCATTTTTTTCCTACGTTTAGATATTTACATCAAAGTTTTTCGACAGTTGGGATCAGTGACCTATTCAGTCAAATCCACGTCGTCCATATTTTATTATTACTATGATTTCTGGAGGCGTTCCGTCGGTTTTAGTTTGGAACCAACGACGTAGCTAGCTCTAGGAAAAAGATCGAGAATTTTGTGATGAATAGTGTCTGCACCAAACCCCCACACATTCGCACTTCGCTTTTATTGTTGGGAGGCGTAAATTCGAATTGTGGGGTTTCGCTATGACGGTAGCTAATTAATCATTCGGTGCTCCAGAAGTATGCGCACCAAAATGTCGCACAACCTGAATCCTAGCCGATACACACACACACACACACACATACTATGTTCATCTTGGTGCGCATACTTCTGGAGGCCCGTGGCTATAAAACTCCCACGCCCTCTTTTAATTAGCGCTTTGTCTTTTTGTTTGATTCTACGCTCTTTTTAGTTGAAAATCTTACACCGATAGCGCCTCTCATTTTTCGAGGTGACATAAGCAAGTTACTACCGATGGTGCTGATACCGGAATCTACTAGAACCAGGTTGCCATTACAAAATACAAAACACAATATATATAATTTGATATGTTACTCACTTTCCTTGGTTGGCAAAGTGTTTTTCTCTTCGACGTCAACTTTGTTTAGAGATTCTTTGCGGAAGAGGGATATGTTTTGAATAGTCTTTTCTGCCGCTATATCTACATTGGGAAAAATAACAGTTAAGGATCTAACCACTGGTCAGAAGCGGGTGGAAGGGGCCAGTCGACTTTCTCTATCGAGTAGATGGTCGGTTTGAATCATGCAAATGAGATTTTATATGTTTTGTCAAGCGGAAAACATGAACACAACAAAATATATTCGAAAGCAAATAGTTCTCGGTACAGAGTGGGTGGCAACGATACGACGACCACGCGGTCATCGGAGTCAGTTATCATTGAATTTGTATGACCGCCCAAAAGCGCTTCAGATGTGGATTAATATATTTTGGGTTTATACACAAATATAAATGAAATTTAGTGGAAAATAGTTTAGTTATACATACACTATGGACATGCATCTGGAATGACATGTTGGCGTCTATAGATTAAATAAAATTTCAGTCAAACACGAACGACACTTATTAAATGTTTAGTAATTTAGGCTGAGTGTATACTGTATACTATCAAAGTATTACCCTGTCGGCGAAGAAAACACTAAGAAGAAGAAAACTTATCAAATTTGGCTAATATGATCAGCGATAGATGGAAGTAATTTTATTTACCCTCCTGTGACGGCAAGGAGTGCTTTTCCACTGGATCAACGTGTTTTAGTTGATCTTGGTCGAAATTAGCAGCCTCCTGTGGTGTCTTTTCATGGAGAATATCTGTCAAACACATTTAAAATATTTAGTCAGTCTTTCATGAACGAAAATGCATGAAAATCAGAATAACGGTAATAATGAAATTGATAGGTGTTTCGAAATTATAATTCTTTCATCAATCCTGAGTTATGTTATTCCTTTCCCAATTATTTATATGCTTAAATGGATTTACAATAATTGAAACCGGAGATGAAAGTAGGGATAGAAAAAATTCTAGAATAGTTTTCCTATCTTACTCTTATGACTCGGAAAAATCAAATATAGTCTACAATATAGATAAGTTTATAGCTAGCTAACAAAGTGCCCGAAACAATTTTTTTGGGATAATGTTTGTAAAATAAGAGTAGCACAATATATTTATTACCTTGGGTAGTTGGCAATGCTACTTTTTCTGCTGTTTCAACGTGCTTAAGCTCTTCCCTTTTGAAGTTGGCAGCTTGCTGTGGCGCTTTTTCTTGAGCTATTTCTAATATAATAAAAATACTTTTGTCAGTTATAAAGTTAGTAATTAGGAAGCTCAATATATGGTCATTATTTTTGACAAATAATAGATTATAGATTAAAAAGCATCTTAATTATGTATGATAAGTCGACGTACTTTAAAAACTTTGGGTACAAATATATACGAAAAGCGTAATCTAATATATATATATTATATTACAATAGTGTGATTTCTATTTCTTCATCATAAATTTTTGAAATCTAAAATATGAAATTGATTGTATTACCAATACCAATAATTACATTTAATACATTTGAAAAAATATATAATTGCGAGAAAAAGATGAAATTCGTTATTATGACAATGAAACTATTATGAACGCACAATGTCAAGAATTTCCGAATATCAAAATAATTTAACATAGATACCCTGGGCAGTAGGCATAGCCACCTTCTCCACAGTTTCAACATGGTGGAGTTTCTCTTTTTCGAAACTGGCAGCTTGCTGTGGTGCTTTTTCGTGAACAATGTCTTAACAGAAGTATCACAATTAGCGTACAGCTAGGAACAATAATATAAACGAGTTTGATCGTTTTGCCTCGAGGATCAAATTTTGTTATTTACAGTATTCAGTTACTATATACCAAACCACAGATATTCATTTCTGCAATTGTTAATAAATAGCAAATATTTGAGTAATCTCGCCACAGTTACTAGCAAATTTTTCATTTACAGTGAAAATTAAGATAATTTAATGCGTTTTTACTACAATCTACCAGCGATTTGTTGACGAAACTAATTTCTGTTTCCAGGTGGAGAAGGTCGACAGTATATCGTTAAAATACTAGTACAGTGTGATACGCAAACATAATATAAGTCATAAATTACCGAACAAAATTAACTTTGCAATGGAATTTGGTTTTGAAAGTTTAGGCAAAACTATTTTGAACATTTCATGAGATGCTTGTCGCGTTCTCTCAGAACAAAGCCCCTTCGATCACCAACGTGGCTGATTTTTGAAATTCTTAGATTTAAATCGGATGAAATCAATCCTTGAAATATTAAGACATAAAACAGATAGACGAGTGAGTATTGACCACAATACTGACTGCATTGTTCTCAAGAGTCAAAGATAAAGACTGGTTCAAAAAATCGTCAGGTCAAAGATTTTATAAGATACCTTGTGCTGTTGGTAACACAGATTTGTCTTGTGTTTCTACTTGTTTCAGCTTGCTGTGGTCAAATGAAGCGGCCTGCTCTCGCGATTTTTCTTCAAGATATTCTGTGAAAAAATAGATCGCGTTTGAGAAAAATTCGAATCGCGTTTCTGTCGGTATCACCCAGATTCATTTTTCCTATCATCCATAGCTGAATTCAATTAATGAACTAAGGATATTTCTTTTCGATGACAGAAAATAGATGAAAAACTTACGTGATTTGGCGTCAGTCTTTTCTTCGGTTGTTACTTGTTTCAATTTGGTTTTATCAAAATCCATAACGGCTGATACATCTGGTTTCGACATGACTGGTTGTTCCTATAAAAAAGCGCGTAATTTAAGATGGAAAACTAAATACACTCACTTCTTGTAAGTCCGTCTGAACTCGTCTGTGCATTATCGGTTATTGAAGAGTAAAGGCAAGTCGGAAATATAATGTCCAATCTCTTTGATAAAGTTTTATAAGTGAATTTTCGTACTTTGCCCAGTGTTTCCAGAATGCTGGTGTAATACAATCCGACAATCGTTTAATACCGTTACAGAAATTATACCGGGAATATCTTCTAAAGCAAATAGCACAATTTACAACTTATTCACCTCCTACTGTGCGAATATACAAGCCCACGGCGCATTCAAAGCACAGTCCAAGAATTTAGACATAAAATACACAAATGGTAAACTGAATAAGCAAATCGCGCATTCCATATTGCCGACAGCTATGCGTTGGTGAACTAGTGCAAACACGAACGAAATCTACAAAAAATTGGATCTCATTCCTACTAAGCATGTGTCGCGAATACAGCGGGCAGTTTGAATTCGATTTATCCATATGGAGTTCTAAACCGAGATCAAAATTGAAAAATCCGGGACACGGATAATAAAATATCGGCAGATGTCTTCGTTATCATGTTAGCCAAGCTTGATTAGTATATAGGTTTGGCCCGGTACAACACGACATAACACAACGGTAACACGAATTGTGAAACTGGACACGTACACCCCGTGCTAAACACGAATATGAAATTTTTCAAATCGTCTTATCGTACGGCATTTTGATAAATAAACAATGGAGGTCTGCCAAAATTACAACGCAATAGAGGTGAATCGGGATGCGTTGTTTGCGAAAGATAATGTTATTTGATGTAATGAATGCCAGGATGTGGAATACACTTATATATACGATATATATCTCCGAGTTCGGAAAATTGAAATACGCTAGTCTGTCCCATGTTCATGCTACAAACCATAAAAATAGTCATCAAGCTAGCACGAGTTAAACAAAACTGAACTTTTGAAGCGGAGATTCGAGGTAAAAGCGTATAATTTACTTGTGAATATTTGATGATTCTTAGCAATGATATGTCTCTATAATTCAATACTCACTTCTTGTGCTGATTCTTCTTGTGTAACTTCTTTCTCTTCTTCCGGTTTTGCTTCGGCAACTTCCGGCTTTGCTTCCTCTTGTGTTTGTTCTGATTTAGCTGGTTCTTCGGCTTTCGTTTCCTCTGCCTGTTGTGCCGGTTCTTCTTTTTTCGCTACTTCTACGACCGCTTCTTGCTTTGGCTCTTCCTTTTTCTCTTCAGTAGTTGAAGACGACTCTGCCTGTTTCTGTTCAATCGGTTCCTCGCTTGTAGTAGCTTGCTGCTCCTCTACCTTGGGTACTTCTTCTACAACTAAAAACAAGTCAATATTCAGGACGACGTGAGAAAAAGATGGAATCAAATAGAGCGTGACAACCCTAACAAGTGAAAATAACCTCTAGCACATCACACAGAGGCCGGCAAAAATGTATCGTGCATTTGATCGACTGCACAGAGTCGCGTTTCACCTGCGAGGCAAACCATCCTGTCGCTACCTATTTATTACATTCGAAGATTATAACCTTAACAATATCAGAACACACAAACGTAAAGCGAACCGTCGATTTATCCCTTACAGACCGCACCAAGATGCGAAAACCCATATAAGCTCAAGACAGTTAAGACCACAAAAAAACTAATACCAACTCGAGACAATTTTCACGCTTAGGTAATTTAAAGCAATACCTCAATATTATACGAGCAAAACGGAAACCCGATCTGACAAAAACGCAAATGGTGATTAATACGAAACTAAAGACAAAATTACATATCTGAGTAAACAGCTAGCTCCATATAATATGTCTGCAATGAGCGCAATAACCTCGGGCTGAATTTTACAAACGGTTTCAACTGATATAAACTGAACTTGATCAAATTCCATAATTTCAATCAATGTAATCCTAAATTGAGCCACTGCTTGTTCAAAAACTTTGTTTAGGTGATTGTATACAATTCCATATCAAGTGAAAGTAATAGTAATCCTTCCTGCGGTTCGAAAAATCATGTCAATTCAGTATGCTGATTATGTGTGGCACTGCTTAATTTCTGACGGAATTATCGAGTGTCAAGAGAAGCAGGGTATTGGGGTGTGTGAAAGTGTCAGTGTATATTTTACAGTCCGCTGATTTTACCTTGTTTTTCTTGCTCTGTTTTCTTATCTTCTCCTGAGACAGGATCTTTATCCGTAGATGAATTATTTGATTTCTTGGAATTCTTTTTGCCGCTTTCTTTTGATTGATTTGTTTATTATGTTCGAATAGGTATGAAAGAAAAGGAAAAAACATATCGTTATTTTCGTTAGAATAATGCACGAAACGTGATAACAATCTGATTTTAAGATCAAAGCGGTTTTGTGATGGTATCTGGTATATCATCTGGTATATGCAAAAAAAATTTTATTTTAGCCCAAAGATTTCATAGAAAACGGTTGATCATCGGTCGATTAAACATGCTAAATATTACTCCAGATCTGCTAGAATTCTTGAAAATAATCTCTTAGAAATTGCAACACCGCTCAAGCCGGCTCACTTAATGTGCCCATTTGACTATTTAAACTAGAGTTGAGTACTAAAACGTTTTCTGTTGTAAAACATTATGGTCTTGATCTTCACAACTCAGTACTCGCAATTTTATCTCTAATGCTACGATAGCCTCAATGACAAATGAAAATGCGAACTTCGAAGTGCTATATATATGTTAGCCCTACAAGATTAACAACGACGAATCTCGCATGCATACGTACTACCGCTAGAATTATAATATATTACAAGTAGCGATAAAAATACAAATAAGGAGGCCACCTAGATTTTGTTGAGCACAACAAAGAATCTGAAATTACTAATTGGACGCCTGTACTTGTAGACGTTCTTTGTTCAAAAAATTTGAATTAGTCGATTGCAACTAACACATTCCCAAGCACGAGTGGTAGATGTAGAGCACTTCTCTACTATTGATCACACTCGGTCAAGATTAACCGGGGAAAGACTATTTAGAATAACATCCAATTTCCTCTCAGTTCGCTCGACAAATACATTCAGAGCGACGTAATGGCAATTTTACTGCTTTGCGTTCGATTGCCTCTGAGCTAACAAATTTAAATTGCTATTTTTATGCCTGCCTGCCTGCCTACTTGAATCAGCTACCGTAAAGCCTCCTTCGCGCAGACAACACGAAACCACAAGACGAGATACGAAGGAATAATGAGGAGCCTCCTTTAAATAACTACAAAAACAATAAATTTTAACAACACATGGACGCGAATTATTTGGAGGGTTATAAACGCATTTTATCGTAAGTATTCTAATGAAAGAAAAGTCAAATTTATTATTAATAATATAGTATTATTAATACTATTTCTATGAACTGAAGCAATAACAGTAAATGTCGTTTATGGCCAACTGGCTATGCAGTGTACGTATTCTACATCACTCATTCTATCAGAAGTTTTCACATTCTAGGTTCTAGATGACATTCGCAACACCAATTTCAGGTTCGTATGCAGCATACCTTGTTAATATATTCATGTATATAAATATTAGTCGCCATAGGCACCGAAAATAGGAACCAGCAGAAGTGAAACTATTCGGACTGGCAAATGGCGCGCACTCTGACAGCAAAAAAAAAAACATAATATGGTAGTCACCAGACCATTCACGAGGGATGAAGAATACAACAACCTAACAAATGAAGATCGAAAGTTTTGGAAAAATGAAATAATAAGTCTTATCAGCCTTCATAATTCGACAGCTTCTCACAAATAACTGAATACAGTTTTCGCTGGATTTGGAACAACATAGAAGAATGCGCGGCTCGAAAGACACACCATACTTATACAATAACACGAGAAGCGTTGCTTCTGAATGAAACCATATAATAAGTTCGCCTGGAGCAAACTGCGGCGAATAAGCTTACTACGAAATATATTAATATCTAGCATGTATGTCAATAGAGCGCGCGCATTTTTGGTCGTAAACCTAGGGCGTGGTCTTAATGGCTTTATGAAAGAAGTGATATGCTAAAAGTAAACATGCAATGGTGGCGATATGTTGCCTAGCTGACTCAATATCTACAATATAAAACATATTGAACGGGATAATTTATAACGCTTTGGAAGTATTTGACATGGGTGACCGGTAGAGATACCTATCATCCACAATACCATAAGCGTGTACATAAAATATTTGTGGTCCAATGTGCTAAAATAATCTTATTTCCAATCAATTCAATGTTGAGCACCAAGCGTGACCGGTTCTAAGATTACCACCCCTCACGACTTGTGGTTCATAGTTTTAAGTTTTATAATATAATTAGTAATACAGCATGACAATCAGAAACAAGTACTCTATATCTGCAATATTTCGCACTGAATGCTAAATTCTCGACATTTTCATCAGTTGTTTACGATAAAGCCATACAATCCTATCCTCACCGGGTTATAACGATAAGACGAGCTGAAATCTTTCATTTCAATTACATCCTCACGTATTAGTCGATTCGCATTGCTTGCCGAGATTGAAACTGATCTAAACATATAATTGTCTAATTGCTTCGCATTTAAATCAGAGACATGTAATTAAAAATACGCAACTCAATTAATTGCATTTCTGTATTAACCAATCATTAAATCAGTAGTAGTAATCAAACGAATTGCAAAGTCGGGCACGAACTTATTGAAAGCTACTAATCGAATCGTATTCTTATGACTTGTGTAACGAATCATGGCATGTTACACTGAAAACGAATTAAATTAATGCTGGTTTTAACAGCGGGCAGCGGACAAAGCTCTTCATGACGATAGGTTCGGAAATTACATAATCACGATCATCCGCTCTTACAGAGCTGAACGATGGTGTTATCATCTTGCTTAACTCGATACCCACGCATTTTGAAACATTACTTCCCGTCATGTATTTATTATCATAATACAAAATATAAATCTCCAAGAGTTTGCAGCTCGTTTTACTAATCTACCTTTGACTTCGCCGAATTTGTACATAAAAGTGTATATTTCGACCGCATAAAAGAATTTAGATTTAATTAACAACTGTCGAATAGCTTTAAAATAGCGTTAGGTTGGAATTACGGTTATGCTTTTAAATTGCCCGAAAAGCCAAAACAAAACTACTTGAGGCATCTTTCAATTTTTAACCAACTGCGACACTTTTCCGTTATTTCAATGTTGTAATCCAGCGATCATCATCACAGCCATAGCGACCACCGGTTAAGAATAGAAAGCGACATCTTCGAACAAAATATTTAAGTGAATTAGCTACACCTCACAACTACCAGATAGCCTTCAATCTTCCTCTCTCGATAGGTTATTTACGTTCTCAAAATTTTCGTTCAAGATCTTTTCATGTCAACAATCAACATATTTAGAGCAGACATGCATACACATGTGCCTCGGGGTGCGTATCGATCTTATCTTCAGTAAATATCGTTAAACAAACATATCACATTTCTGTTTCTAAGAAAAATAGGATGAGTATAGCAAAGTGAAAGAGAAGTATATGTACACTTGTAACTAAAAAAAATAGACCCATGAACGGGATGCTCACACAACAGCGATCCGCATTCTGGAATTCCAGTCTGTTTTGACATCGAATATTATTCTATAATTGCTCCCTTACCCATTTGATTTGTCAAGTAACATTTTAGTACCTTCTGATCTGATGTTAAAAAACGTGAAAAGCAATGATCACATTTATGGCAGGTAACACATCGATACCCATAAGTCCACAGCTGAACACCGAGTTCGCTGAATAATAGATATTTCCCCGAGTTAAAATAAAACTACAAATCGGAAGAAAATCGAATAGTCCTTCACTTGCGGTGAAAAACACACAACAATGAACATAATTCAATTGGGCCAAATAACGACAAGTGCTCACTACTGCACGTCTTGCGCGTTCTACATAGAATCAAAAAGAATCGAACACTATATGAAGCACTGGGTTACGTTTCCACTACAAGCTAACATAAATGACAAGGGTCCTCAACCTATGAATTTATAACCAGAACGAATCACGATGCTATAAAATCATCCAATCAAATGCCACAACAGCCAATGATATTTACAGAAAATGACGTTATCGACGGTTCAATATCTCAAAATCCTTTGTTTGAGAAATATCAATCACTATATAAACTTTTTCGAAAAAGCTTGACGTTTCATGAACGGGAATTGGACATTGGTAGCCAGTAATAGCACACGGACTCCGCCAAATCAAATAAATAGATGTTGGAGCGGTATTGACTGAATGTTGCTGACAAAGTTGCGAACATACATAATGACGTCATCGATTTCTATCATAAGTAGAGGAGTTATTCGATTCATTGTCGTAAATAGAGAGGCTATTGACATCGAGATTATGCAATATAACACAAATCGTTGATTTAGTTTACTGCACTTATTTATTTGCACCTGTAAATCTTGTTTTTAGGAAGTTATCAGAAAATGATATCTGTGATTCACAAACAGGTGAAACCAATTCAAACTATTATTTCAACACGACGTAAAAGAGAGATATCTTATCGTTTTTAGCCCAAAGTACAAACTTCAAACAAAGAAGAACAAGTCGACACACAGTCGCAATGTTTGGCTCCGAAGTCGATGAATATTTTTGTACATATAATTTTAATTACCCATCTATTACTGCGGTTCCACTTTTGGCGTTGGTCAAACCATAACAACTTATGCGTGTGGATGGATATTTTTGACAGTGACGTTAGTAAGCTATAATTACGACAATTGTTTGAGATCGCTTTTCAGAAGAACCCACTTTAATACAATTCAGAATCACTCGACTTTCTTCGCTTCGATTAACACTGTATACATAATGACGCCCAGAAAACTTTCTTCTTGCTGACAATATTGGCCTTTTAAGTTTTTAATGGCAGGGTTACGCTTGGAGTAGGAGATATTTTGTAAATCTCAACGACAGACCAGATCGATATAACGAAACAATGATAATTACAGCAAGCTCCTCTCAAGTAGGTTTGGGGTATGATCTTCATATGATCTAAAGCTCTTTCTAACAAGACAGTAATTTTTTAAAATCGATTCTCAAATTAGCCTATTGCAATGAGTTAATAAAAAACGACAATCTGATGGTTATTTTTGACAGCTGAAAATATTTCGTGCATCATATCCGGTTAGCGGATCACATTACACAGGAAATGCACTGCATATTATAGCCCGTAGGAGGTTGTATTATTATATACACAA